AATTAAGGAAGGCAAAATTAGAAATGATTTTGGTGGGTCTGAATTGTAATCTTATATCATGTTCGATTTTATATGAATTACTATCCAGCACGGAAATATTTGTTCAGCTTCTTTTTTTTTTTTAATGATTAAAAGCTGTTTCAACAACCAATGGAATTGTGCCGTGTGGCGGATCTTATTCCTCATTTTTACTCTGCGATGGGATAAAGTCATAATAAAACCGGTGTCAGAATCTTCAATTTTGAAAAATATTAAAATATTAAAATAAATAACTATAGAATATAATAAATATGATGGTAATTGGTATGTATTATTTAAATTTTTTTTTTTGTGTGTTATACACTACTACTACCTCAGATCCGACTGAAAATAAGTGTGACAATTGATTGATAGCGCCAATGAATAAGTGTAAAATCTATATTATATGTGGTTTATTATGAAGGTGAAGTGGTCGTGATTGATTTGGTAATAAATGTATTTTCATTAGTGGTATAGAACTATAGATTAAATCATATCATATTATTCTTACCAAAAAAAAATCATATCATATTATGAAAATTAAAATATATAAGAAAAATTACACAATTATTATTATTTAGTTTTTTATTTCTTGTAACGAAAGAATCTGCAGACAATTGTGCACCGATAAAGGAAAAATCTATGCTGTTGTATAATAGTTAGCAAACAAAAAATATAATCAAACTATGCTAATCATTTGCGACAAGCTTGGTCTAACGACCGTTGGCTTGTTGGCAAGGGGAACATAACAATTAATTGTGTGTGCAAGATGTGTGTGGAGTTCCAAAGAGAAAGAAATGAAAAATACCAAAAAATTATAATTACTAACTATTATCTCAATAAAAATCCTCAAAACAATTATTCGATCTAAGAAATCCCAAATTCAAAATACCAAACTTTTAAATGATTAAATTTAAGTTTTACCATTCGGGCAATGTTATCATTGATATTGAAATTTTGGGATTCTTAACATAGAGGAATATTTCTTGGGACTTTTTGGGTTATAAAAAATTTAAATCAAGGGTTTTTGGCATATTTCCAAAATAAGATGAAAATTGATGGACCATTATGTCTAAAAATAGTATACCTATATATTTAAGGAGTAAAAGTGCAATTACCATTTAGTAGCCGTCGGCGGGTGGGGACCACAAATGTGCAACCGGCAACGTGTACTGTTCGCATTTGAATCAAGCAATTACGGCTCCGACATGACACGTCCAATTATTTCGTTATTTTATTCCCACCATAAAACAAACTTCATCTTACTGAAACAACAAAAAATAAAAAAATAAAAAATAAAATCAATTTCATCAGGTTATATATCAACAGTTGTGAAAATTTGGGTTGGTCAAATAATTAGTGGTGGAGGTGAGATTATTATTACTATAAATTATGACTAAGATGACACGCGTTTTCGTTGCAATTCAAAATTCATTTCGATTTGGCCTAAAGTGTACACCTCGTCATCACCAGCACAGCTAATTATTTGATTAATTAATATTAAGTTTATTACTTTGAATTTCAAATCGAAAAAGTCTATACAATAATGTGTTTGCCGCAAAAAGAAAAGTATTTAATAATGTACCAATATTTTAAATTTAAATACATTGACTCACCCAAACAGAGTTACTACTTGCTCTCGTTTCATTAGTGTTTGACAGAACAGATACCTTTTTAAAATAGAATCTTATTTCGAGATTCAGAATTAAATTACTATACATATTATATATATATATATATATTTTTTTTTTTAGTATTATCTTATTTCGAGATTCAGAAAAGAAAAAAAAAATCCCAAAGTATAATAAATCAAGTTTATATCCTTGGGCCTAGAGGATTTAAATTAAGGATTTGAGTGATGATCCAATCCTAGTCAAGATTTTAAAAACCTCAACGTAATTAAATTAACATAACATGCTACTCTTAAATCGGGCCGAGAGAGTTCCAGGCCACTAGTCATACTATTCGGGCCGAGAGTGTTCCAGGCCACTAGTTATTAGTTATTACTACATCTATTCGGGCCGAGAGTTCCAGGCCAGGACCAATATTTATCGGAACAAGAGGCCCAATCCATAAAGAACTTATTTCAATTCCCCGGTTTTGCACAAAAAATACTTATTCAATTTATATGTATATATACACACACACCAAACGATCCAGTCCACTAAGGCTCGTCAATAGGCGCGATCCAAAGAAGACAGCTCATTTACGAATCCTTTCCTCGCCACAACGTCCGAGGAAGGATAGCATATTACCAAGAGTTGAGTTGAGAATACATCCATCACTCGAAGGGGTGCCGTGATGACTCAGACATGTGCATTTAATGTCAGACAGACGTGATAAATGCACATACACCAGCGTTAAATGCTTGGAGATGGCTCGACAACGTCAAAAAGTATGAATATCCTGTAGAAAGGCTATGGCCCAAAGCACGAATAGACGACGGAAGACTAATTAGCTAAAAATGATGGAATCAACGATAGGCATGCGCTCCCCCCGGTTTTGGAGAATTCTTGGGTTGGATGAAAATGATATAAGTAGGAGAATACCTACTAAAACAGGTGTTCGGAGGTAAGTTTTTTTGCAAATATAGAAGCTAATCTATTCTTCCTAAAATATACATAAATCCATCGTCAAAAGATATATCGTTCCCTACTGACTTGACCGTCGAAATGCTAATTTCGGCTTGAGTATGGGCTTCCTTTTCTTAGTAGCTTAGTCCCAACCGAGAGAGCATCGAAAGTCTATTTACCTACAATTAGTAGTCTTAATTAAATAATAAATGCACGCCTATTCATATCATTGGTGTAAATGTAATACTAAAAACCTTTGAAGCTCAAAAAGGGAAATTATAATTTGAAGTTCAAAAGAGTTGCTCCATACAATATAATTTTGAAATTGTAATATTTCAAATAAATTATTTTAAAAGCAAAAACTATTTTCAAAATGGTTACAAAAAACTTTTGCAAAATAGCACATAATTAAAATAAAGTGTCACGAGCATGATTGATTTATTAGGAGGGTCAGGTCAACATGAATTCCCACTTTTAATAAATTTATTCAAAGTTGAGAATAATTGTGCAGTATTCATGGATATCGTCCCTCGAAAACCACCACAAGTTTGAACAGATAAGTCAAATGGTCAAATCATTTAATTTCTAGTAAACAATTATTATAAATTCAATTTTTTTTCTAAAAATGAATTATGATAAACAGAAAAGGCAAATTACTGCCAGCCGGTAAACCTTAATTACAAAAAAAATCTACTCATTTTGGATAATTACAACCCCTCCTCAGCTATGTGTTGTATTGCAAAAAAACTCCTAATTCACTAGGTAAATTTGAAACCATAAGTAAGACAATAAATAGTTGAAGGGTGGATGTAATTATCCAAACAACGGGGTTTTTTTTGTAATTTAAGTATACCTCAAGGGTGCCCGTAATTTGCCCTAAATATAATAACAGCTAGAATAAAACCTGAAGCCAGAATCAACAGCAATTAATTTGATGACAAAAACCAAAAGATAGCATTACAAAGCAAGGAATTTGGACAACTAATCTTTACACATAAGAAAGGAAGAAAGACGAAATGAAAATAAAACGAGGAAAAATAATTTTAAACGAAATCGATGAAATTATAATCACACAAATATGCAGTTGACCAAAAATCGTAAAACCTGCTACAACCCGCGTAGGCCATGAATCAGCAATTGATAACGAAGAGGATTAATGAGAAAAGTAGAACCGGAAAACATCGTAAGACAAACAGATAGAGAAATGTAAGCTAGGTATATACTCCTAGAATGATTTCTTTCCAAATTCTTACATGATATTACTATGAACAAATTAAAATTTGAAGTATCGAGAATGAATAATTCAGATCCAGAAAGTATAAACCACAACGAAGCATGAACACAGAACATACCAAGCTTGAGCGCGTCATTCTTCCTACGATAAGATACGCAAAGTTCGAGAGCACCTGAAAGTGAGAAATAAGAAAAACATGCATAGGAAAAAATAAAGGTAGTCAAATTCAACTATCTTTTAGCTCGATTTATATTCGTCGAGCTCAACGAATAATAAAACCGAGTTCAAAAGCTTGATTACAAAATTCAAAGTAAGTTCGAACACTATCTCTCTCTATTTAATCAGCAGTGACGTCAACATGAAACATATAAAGCGGAACAGCAACCAAAAGACATTCTTCGTGATTAATATTCCATCTTAAAAAGCAACTTAAGGAAACGCGTCTCGACGTATTCTGATTGGAGTAAGTAAACATAAGTACCAAAAACATAACAACACGTGTGAAAAGTATTTATGAGCAACCATTGTCAAAATTCGTACCACGGCAATCATTCGGCGAGCTGAGGGAAAGTGCAAAACGAACACGTGGTGGTGATCTAGAGAGTGAAGGTTAGGTTTTAACGGAAAAGTAATAACCCGGTAATCCAATGCATTTAACCTAAAAATCAATTAGTTACTATACATACAAGAAACACGTAAAAGAAAACGTCCATGCATCATAAACGGTCCTCAACAAAGCAAAAACGCCATGCACGACTCAAAGCAAAGACAATGTAGATACATAGCACAAAGTTTCTTCACGAAGCAGTTTGCCAGACAACAAATTCATTGACCGAGTCAGTTCACAAATAATGTACGAATACAGATAGGTGAGAATGCAAATAAGCTTCCAAACAGATACGATACGGAAATGAACAATCAACTTAATGTAGATGAATATACGTACTCTGAAAACATGGCAGGATCTTTTCAACAACTGCAAGATAGACAAACAATCCATATCAGCAAATCAATAAGAGTAGCAATCGTTTACGAAACAATTAGCTTTTCACATAACAACAGAGAACTCGATATCCAAAACAAAATGAACAGATGCCATAAAAAAACTAGGTTTTCACTGAAATCGACGATTGAAAGAGTCTTCAGAAGAACACTAACAAAGGATCAAACGAGCACAGAATCGCACACAAGTATGAATCATAGAGTCTTCGAATATTGATAACATTAAAGTTTATAAATTTAAAAATAAGTAAATTCTCATCAAACAACAAACACTCATAGAGATGGACTCTTAGATCTATAGAGTCTTAGTCCTTTCACCCTGTCTACAAGCATTCTCCTCTCTCTCTCTCTCTTCTTTTTTTTTTAAGCTAAATAAGAAAAAAAAAATGGTAGTTTCTTCCAAATGACAAACATCATCATCTTGTGAGCACATCAGAGCCGGAGCGCCGTGCAGGTCAGCTCGTCCACATCAGCAGCGGCGTCCATCGGCGGCGGCATGTTGAGATCGAAAGGCAGAGGCTTTTTACAAGAGGAGGAGGCGATGTCGCACTCGGTATCATCAACCACGGAGGCGGAGGAATCACAGTCGCTATGACAATCATCTGGAACCACCGGCGGCGACCGAGGGTACCTCCTCTGCTGCTGCATGGGCGGCGGCGGCGGCAGCTGCTGCCTGGGCCCACTGAAGGACTCCACGGTGCTGCTCATGCCGCTCGAGGTCGGCCTCTGCTGCGCAATTATTTGGTGGTCCTGTGCGTAGAACCGGGACGGATCTCCATGGTTGTTCTTAAGATGCGGCGGATTAGGGTTTTGAGGGTTGAAATCGGGGAAAACGGCGCCGTTTTGGGGAAATGGGAAATTCGTCTTCGCCTTAGGGCCACGGAGAGAGCGGGCGGCGGCGTCGTAGGCGCGTGCGGCGTCCTCCGCCGAGTCAAAGGTGCCGAGCCAAACACGGGTCTTCTTCCAAGGGTCCCTGATCTCTGCAGCAAACCTTCCCCACGGCCTCTTCCTCACGCCGCGGAATCTGATCTCCTTGAGGATTCCAGATCCGTTGGCTTCTCCTCCGTGAGCCGCCGCATCCGCCTGCTTCACCACCGGTGCTCTGCCTCGCCCCATGGCCCGAATTCAAATGGTTGAAAAAAAACAAAGATAGGTATTTCTCTGCTGGTGGAGAAATGATTTATAGGAAAAAAATTGAAGGCGATGCACAGAAGCAATGGCCTAAGGAGCCAACATATGTACAACAAACGCCCACACAGATACAGAGGATGAGATGGTGATAATCTAATTCTAATGCTTTTTTCCTTTTTTCTTTTTTTTCTCTCTCTACTGTGTGTTGTGTGTGAAAAGAGGGTGGGGGAACGTTATTTTTTCATTTATTTTTCTTGGTGTTTTTTTGTGGAGAGGGAAATTGCTTTCTCGATTTCTCTACCATCTCACGCGCACCCACAAACCGATTACGCCCATCGGATTTTCATATTAGATTTTGCCTTTGCTTACCTTTTTTTATGAGTCAAAAGACACAACAGCCCCCTAATTTTTCAATATTTCCCATTTTGTCCTTTCCCATATTTCTCCTCCATTTTATTTAATTATTTAATTATTTATTAATGGTGGTGATATTTTATGGTCAGAATGGTATTTGGTTGTGTCCTTATCCCTGCTTCATTATTTACGTAAAAAGGCAGCAAAGTTGGCGTGGTATATTGTGCATCCATTAGGGTTTTATCAACATCCACTCTTGCTCGATACCAAAATATAATGCGGTACGACTTATGAAATTCTACATCTGGTGGAATATACTGTAATTTTAGAATGTAGACAGTAAATATATTTAAATAACTACCCAGTAAATACAAATATACATGAGCGTGTATGTGTTATATTATGTGTAAATCGATAGTTTACAATTATATGATGTATTTCACGAGGTGCAAGTTTTAAAAAACCATGTGGTACCGATATAAACGAGTCACAAATTTAAGTATCATGTCTCGCTTTGTATGATAATGTTCAACGTAATAATATCATTTTGATTTTGTTCATTTTGCCGTCTCACCCTTTTCAAATTATTATTGTGTAGTAATTTAGTTATTTGTAGGTTTTGATTTGAAATAAAGTGTGTATAATCGAAAGTACGTATGCATAAGATAAACGTGGTTAATTTCAGTTATAGTATACATGAGATGTATAAACGTACGTAGTTAATTTTAGTCGTGCATGTGATACACGTGGTTAATGCGTATTTGATCAAATATATTTTGGTAGTGATATTAATTATATGTTCATTTGATCTAATTTATCAATATCTTGTCGACCGTTCTAATTCTTCTTATATTTTGAAGAATAACCTCGATCGGTTTGTGACGATAACACTCGTTAGCTTCTCAAGACCCTTTCAACAACTTTATGTGCTACTTTTTATAAATACTTTTAAGAAATAAACGGGGGCAATATCTCCAAATTACTGGTGCAAAACTTTAATAACTATCCGTCTACGAACTCATGCAAAATTTTAATTTAAGACACTAACGAAAAATTATAGTTATATCTTTCATTTTGTTCATTACGAGTTACATAACTACTTAGATTGTAGCAAAATTTGGTTTAACGAGTTTATCATCTATTACAAATACGGGACTTCGAAACCATTATAGGATCGTATTGTTGGGTTTGGGGCAACCCATTGTAAACGTGCATATTGCAAGACAGTTCGCAATATATAAGGCACAAAATGAGAACAATTTGCAATTTAAGAGAACCAAATGACTTTAATTTTGTACCAATCGAATCCAACTACTAAGAAATAACATAAATTTCACAACAAACATAGCCATAATTTGTTGCAAAATAAAGGTCAAAAATTTATTGTAGTGAATCCAGTCCACGTTGGATGCTGCAAACAAGGTTGTGTGTTGTCGCATAATATTCACAAAAATTCAAACAAAAGTTTAGATGAAATATAGTAACATATTTCACAATTCGTTCAAGATTAAAACTATTTGAAAAATCTTACAAATAAGTTTTTTTTTTTTTTCTTGACAAAACTATTTTTAACCATTTCAACACACAATCTCATCCATTAATCTTAGAATCTTGACCGAACTTTGACTCTCACTCTCTGGTCAAATCCTTTTTTTATTTTTTCTTTTTTTTGCTCGTAATTTTCTCTGTCATAACTCTAATTAGTAATTACACTGATCAAATTGTGTTGGAAAGGCAACATAATAAACATCTAAATATTTTGTGTGTTGCTGTATACGAGATTCATTGTGTACAGTGATTTAAAATGAACGCAGAATACTTTTAAATAAGAGGATATTTTTGTCATTAATTTTTTTATGGACCTATTCATGAGAATATTAGTTTTAATGGACATATGCGTAATTATCCATTAGTATAGACCGCATAGTCAATTGTACGATAGTAGAGAATTATGACGTCAACCAACAAATACTTTAAGAGAAAAATGGAAAATTAATATTGATATGCCTATTGGCCCAGCCCAATAGCCCACATTTACTGGACCACAGGCCCAACTTAATAGTTATTTCTACAGAGGCCCAATCAAACCCAAATAAGGTTGGGCCCGATAAATTGTCTCGACCCAATCAATAAAGTATAAATAGAACTTAAATTCATCGAATGAAGGTACGTTATTATTATTCAATCAATTCTTCTTGAGAAATTCTCTCTACAATTACCAACTATCTTCACGTCTGACTTGAGCGTCGGAGGGGTTTCCGCCGGATCAACCCCCGGCTTAGATTACGTGTTTTCTGTTCGCAGGATCCTAGAGCAAATTAAAGTTCTCAGGACTATCTAGCTCGTGAGCACGTGACCTACTTTGCTCTCCCAGCTTCAACACATTAGGTGATTTATTTTTTACATCATCAAATATAATTTTTATTTATCTTTCCAATATTACGATTGTTGCATAAGGAGAAAATAAATAAATACAATATCACACATAAATATAATACCAAAAATGAAACATGCCTTTTTAATATATTGTCATAAAAACACGAGAAACACGCCTTTCCTTCATAACAAAGTAATAAGTAACAATTTTGACGTCGAGTAATTCAATAGTTAGTCTATTATGATTAACATCTCTTGTATAATTTGCTAGCTATTATACAGAGTGTATATTTACCTAGTCCACTTATATAGTTGGTTGTAAGTTACTTAATTTAAAAAAGAAAATGAAAATATTCAATAGTATGTGGGAAAATTGATTCAACTTTTGTGAATTTGCAATTTCATATTGCCTATATTTAATTTGCATAGTCAATAAGATTATTAATTGGACTTAGGTCTTCATTTTTTTGTTTAGGTCTTCATTTTTTTGTTTATCTGTGTGATTGTGTAAGAGGAATAGTTTTTCTCTCTCTATGAGAGGCATATCTTCTCTCTCTATGAGAGGCATTGATCTTCATTGACTTTGATTTATGATTCTAATCCAGTGCAGCGTGGTCATTTATATTCCTGGTTTTTTTGTTCTAGATTGCTACAATTATCGATCATATGTTTTTACCTACTTATTTAGCCCATAGTTATATGCTTAGGTTGCTTTCTTAGGGTTTTCTCGGTTATTTGGTGTTTGCGGCGTTTTTTACTTATTTTCCTCTAAACCTAATTTTTCCGCTCTCCACTGCAGAATCCAAACCCTACCTTAGCCTTGTCGGTGCCCCTAGTCTCCCGGTCTCTCGGGCTTCTCTCTCTCTCTCTCTCTCACCCAGCTATGGAGGGCCTCGCCGAATCTCTGGCCAAACAGATCACCCTAACGGAGGAGGAGGAAGTAGGGATATTATTGGATCCGTCGGATGGGGAATTTAGAGTTTCGGGTAACCAGATCAGTTTGGTTGGGAGGGTAGTCTCGGCCAAAGAAATCTCCTTTCACACGATCAAGTTAAATGCTCTCCGTCTGCTTGCCCCGGTGAAGGGCTGTGACATACAACCTCTTGGGATAAATACAGTTCTGCTCAAGTTCAACCACGTCCTTGACAAGAAGCACGCCCTCGAGGGATGTCCTTGGGTTCTCGAGAGGCATGCGTTTATCTTCCACGACCTTGTTCCGGGAGAGATGGCAAAGGAGATCGATGTTAGAATGATGCATATCGTAGTTCGATTATATCGGATCCCACCAACCCTTAAAACACCAACGGTGGCTAAACGAGTCGCTTCTAGAATTGGAGAATTTGTCCAGCTGCTAAATGAGAAAACCCTCGACGTGTCGGAGTATATGCGAGTTAAGGTCTCGCTAGATGTCAAGCAACGCCTAAAGAGGGGGATATATCTTCATGAAGTGGAGGGAACGAAAGTCTGGATTGATTTCAAATACGAACGACTCCCCGCCTTCTGCTTTCTTTGTGGAGTATTAGGGCATAGCGAGAATAAGTGTCCAGCTAGATACGAAGACGATTTTACAGATCCTGGTGATAACCTGCCATATGGGATATGGATGAGGGCCCCAAATTTGCGCGATGAACATCATACCAGGCTTCCACTCCAACCAATTTCCGAGAATACTTTGGCAAAGAGGACTACTTCAGCATCACATGCAAATGAATCCAATTTTCTTCCGTTCAAATCAAGAGAGACTCGTGCTGAAGGCCAACCCAACCTTCCCCAAATGGAGAATAGTACACCCCTAACCATCCATGACGTGGAATTAATAAATAACCCGATCCAGGTCCTCACCGGATCATTGGAGACTCACAATATAGGCAGGAAGTTCATCTCGGTCACGAAAAACAATAAAAATAAAAGGGCTAAAGACGTGGCAGACACAGAGCGAGAGCGTACGGTCAAGCGACAATCTTTGAGCCTTCGTGATGAAGACTCTACCTCAACGGCGAGATCTGCAGGGCAGACTCGCCGATCGCCATGAATTCCTTATTCTGGAATTGTCAAGGGCTCGGGGCACCCTTGACAATTCACACAATCGGAGACCTTCTCCGAACTCATAACCCCAAGTTGATGTTTTTTTCAGAAACGAAAGCGACATCGACCCTTGTAAATAAGCTTAAGAATAAATGGAATCTATTCGGCTTATCAGTTGATAAAATTGGCCAATCGGGTGGCCTGGCGATATTTTGGCAAAAGGACGTGCAAGTTGACCTCATCAGCTATTCTAGCAACCATGTTGATCTGGAGATTGCGGACGGGTATAGAGACTCCAAATGGCGTTTTACAGGAATTTACGGTTTCCCAGAGTCACATAGACGTTTTGAGACTTGGCGATTAGTACGTTCGCTTCACAGCCAACGCTCATTGCCTTGGATTATAGGGGGTGATTTTAATGAGATTCTGGACAATTCAGAGAAGAGCGGGGGCAACAGAAGGATTCCTTCACATATTACAGCTTTCCGGTCGGTTCTTGTTGAGTGCGACCTATCAGACCTTGGTTTTACCGGGCCACCATTCACATGGTCTAATAAGCAGACATCTCCTCGCACTGTGAGATGCCGTCTAGACAGGATTTGCGGAAATTCTTCTTGGCATCAGATGTGCCCAAACGCAGCTGTCCACCACTTAGAACTTGCAGGCTCCGATCATCTTCCGCTCCTCTTAAGGCCGGAAGGAGGGGCTTCTCCGGAAATGGGTGTTGGACGTAAACCATTTCGTTTCGAGGCTATGTGGTTTCGCTATGGAGAATGTGAGGATATTGTTAAGCGATATTGGGCGACCAATACAGGATTGCACCCCTTCGACGAAGTTAAGCAGAATACGGATGGTTGTAGGGCTGCACTTCAACAGTGGAGCGGTTCGGTTCTGAAACATCCGCAAAAGCAAATCGAACGACTTCATAAGAAAATTCATATTTTGAGCGAGGGAGTTCAAACTACTGAGAGTGCTCAACAACAAAAGGAATTGAAAGTAGAACTAGAGCGGGTTTACGGGGATCTTGATCTATATTGGAGGCAAAGGAGTCGAGTCCAATGGATCAAAGAAGGGGATCGTAATACCTCTTTCTTTCACGCTAAGGCTACTTCACGTAAGAAACGCAATTGGGTGCATAAAATTAAGGACGCAGACGGGGTCTGGAAGGAGGACAGGGAGGATATTGAACGTGTCATATCTACATATTTTGAGAATCTGTTTCGGACCACAAACCCAGATGAGAGAGAGATTGACGAGGTCCTGGAGCATGTGGAAACTAGGATCTCTGGTGAGGCTGCCCATCTGCTTTCCCTTCCGTTTTCTGCTGATGAGGTAATCCGAGCTATTTCCCAAATGGCTCCGACTAAATCCCCGGGTCCTGATGGCCTCCCTGTTATTTTCTTTACCAAGTTTTGGCACATTCTTGGTTCTAGTGTGTTAAGTTGTGTTCTTGATTTCTTGAATAATAAAACCCTTCCCCCGGCTATGAATTCTACCTTTATTGTTTTGGTTCCCAAAATCTCAAACCCTGAGAGAATGACTGAGTATCGCCCTATAAGCCTTTGTAATGTTATCTATAAATTTGGTTCTAAAGCCCTTGCTAATCGGATTAAAACGGTGTTGAGCGATATTATCTCCCCTACCCAATCTGCTTTTGTGCCGCAACGCTTAATAACCGATAATGTATTGGTTGCATATGAATTAAACCATTATATTAAAACTAACTCTAGAAAACGATCTAAGTTTATGGCTATGAAATTAGATATTAGTAAAGCATATGATCGTATTGAGTGGTTTTTCTTGCGGAAAATTTTGGGCAAATTTGGTTTCCCGAGGCCCTTGACCGACCTAATCATGTTATGCGCAACTTCAGTCTCTTATTCGTTTCTTTTTAATGGATCTCAGTGTGGAAGCATTACCCCCTCTCGTGGCCTTCGACAGGGAGATCCTTTATCGCCCTACCTCTTTATCCTTTGCACTGAGGCTCTTATTGCGATGGTGCAACATGCTACGGAGAATGGGACAATCAAGGGTTTTAGGGTGGCTCCGACGGCTCCGTTGGTTTCAAGTCTTTGTTTCGCGGACGACACCCTTATTTTCTGCCAGGCGATGGAGACTAATGCTCATACTCTGAAGGATATCCTTAATAAATATGCGAGAGTGTCCGGGCAACTGATTAATTTGGAGAAATCGACCATGACTTGCTGCCCCTCTACTACTGAAGAAGAAAAAACCCAATTACATTCCATTCTGGGATTCCAAATAGTTGAAAAGTTTGATAGGTATCTCGGTTTGCCGGCTTCGATGGGGAGGTCGCGAAAAGAAATGTTTTCATATCTTCGGGATCGTGTATGGTCTCGGATAAAAGGATGGAATTCGAAACAATTATCGTCGGCGGGGAAAGAAGTAATGATTAAAGCCGTTCTTCAAGCTATCCCATCATATGTCATGTCTTGTTTTCTTCTCCCATTGGGTCTACTAGAAGAGCTAGAGGCAGCTATACGCGGGTATTGGTGGGGTAACAACGAGGGTCGGAAGATGGCATGGATGGCCTGGGCCAAACTCTGTAAGTCCAAAGATACAGGGGGTTTGGGCTTTCGTAATCTTCGAGCCTTTAATTTGGCTCTTGTTGCAAAGCAAACTTGGAGAATTGCTACGAAACCCGAGCTTCTTCTCACCCGCATTCTCCAAGCGCGGTATTATCCTACAAATGATCTATGGTCGGCAACGACTGGCAACCGTCCCTCGGCGACGTGGCGTAGTATCCTTGCATCTCGTACATACCTCCGAGAAGGAATTCGGGTTCGAATTGGCGACGGATCCTCTACCTCTATTTGGTGGGATCCCTGGATTTCTAAAGACGATAATCCAAGAATCTTCACTCCGAGACCAGTCCACTCCGTTTTCCCTAATTCCGTTTCGGACCTCATCGACCCGTCTACAAGTCTCTGGAATGTGGATGTGATAAGCAATCTCTTCTGGCCGGTGGACATGGCACGTATTCTTGCGGTTCCGATTGGGGGCCCTTCTACTCGGGACCGCCTGATTTGGGGCCCGTCAACTACGGGGCAATTTACAGTTAAAACTTGCTACCACCTTATTATGGAACGACTCAGTCGCTATTCTTTCTCAAGTGACCACTATGGGGAACCTAGTGGCACTCCTAGTCAAAATTGGAAAAGAATCTGGCATTTACAGGTTCCACCAAAGATCCGTGTTTTTGTGTGGCGAGCATGCTCGGAGATTATCCCATGTAAGGTGGAGTTGTTCAGACGAAAAATCATTTTAGACCCGATGTGCCCAATTTGTGGTCAATATCCCGAGACAACGGCTCACGCTATCTACGGGTGTAATGGGCTGAAGGAGCTGTGGATGAAAGGTCCTTTCAAAATTCGACACATGGGCGAGGAAATGTCTTTCTGGGCTTGGTTTGATCTTCTCTCTAAATCTTTGGTTGATGAATTATTTCTTCTTGCTGTAATATTGTGTTGGAAAATATGGGACCGTCGGAATTGTATTTTGCATGGCAAGGATACGATTAAGCTGGACGATATTGTGGTTTGGTGTAGCTCTTATTTGGCGACCTTTCAAGATGCCCGATTCGCGCATGTAACAGTCAAGACGATCGCGCACCTGACCGCCTGGAAGCCGCCGCCGTTAGGAGTTCTAAAACTTAATGTGGATGCCTCATTTCCGCCTAGTGCAGATTTCTTCAATACCGCTGTCGTGGTTAGAGATGCTAATGGTGATTGTGTCTGGTGGAAAGTAAGGAAGATTGCCGGCCGTGTTCGCCCAGTTGAAGGTGAAGCCGAAGCGGTGCGCCAAGCCATCTTATTGGCTATCTCTTGGCAGTGGGAGGATATCATCATTGAAGGAGATTGCCTTCAAATAATGGAAGCTTTGCGTAAGGGTGACCATTCGCTCCACTCCTTTGGGGCCATTTTAGATAATTGTTTAATTCTCGTTAATTCTTTATCATCGTGTTCCTTTTCCTTTGTAAAGAGACAGGGTAATCATCTTGCTCATGCTTTGGCTGCTTTTTCTGTTTCAGATACTCTAGAAGGGTATATTCTCCCTTCACATCTGGCCATGTGTGCCTAATATAGCCATCTTTTTCTCAAAAAAAAAAAAAAAAAAATTTGCATAGTCAATATCATATTACAGTAGGTTGAAAAGAAAAGCTCAAGAAATAACAATATTCAACTGTTTGTTTGACCCCAAATTAAAATTCCAAAACAAAATAAATAAATAAAGGTACTCCACAATTCACACTAAAATGGTCCAAACCTAATATGGTAGGAGATTGGGGGGCACGAAGTGGGTAAATTGGTCCAAGAATTGAAGGCCTAACACAGTAACACTACCTATTTGTACCCTCTCTTTTTTTCTAAAACAAAGAAAAAAATTAGGAGACACGTTTTCTGGGTGAAAACTATCTATTTCGTACAATAATTCGTCGTAAATTAGACGAGAGGTGTATGTAAATCGAACTAAACAGATAAATGTGTGACAATTTTGGATAGTTATGCGTCGCACTCTCTTTGCTCATTATATAAACACGAGTTATTAGTGGCGAAATCGTAATTTTACGTCAAAAAAATATAATAAAAAATAAAAAGAAGAGAAAGATTGAAGTGAGTTTCGGCCTTTGGGGCATTGTGGGCTTTTTTAACTAGGCCCAATATCGAATGTCAGATTATGGGGATTTTTAATTGTAATTTTGATTTTGTCAGGGGTAGTATTGTAAATTGAATGAACTCACCCACACACAAGTCCCATACAGTTGCCCAGGGCATGGTTCCATGTTTCAGCCGAGGTGGAATATTCGGGAATATACCATTTCCTTATTCGAATCTATTATTAATAAATCCTCTGTTTGGGTGCAAACACAAATTTATTAAGATTTTAATTTTGGATTTTTTTGTAGATTCTTGCACATGTTTTATTTATATTATTTATAGAATAAAATAATTTTTTCAAAGACTAATTTAATTAAAATATAATTAAAATCTGTAAATTCATATTTAATAACTATGAATTACCTATAAAGAAATGAGTAAAGGACTGATCATCAATATAATATGTGTATTACTGAATGAAATAAAATGTAATCCGAAATTCCAAAAATGTAATTTTTTTATTGCTTGAACTAATTATCATAAATTAAAAAAAAAAAAAAAAAAAAAAACTGCATGGCTTAAAATAAAAGTCAATTGCGAAGGGGCCCCCGGACCAAGATCTAGTTAAATTTTGGGCTTTCTTAGTAAATTATAGAAGTGGATTGGTCCATCAACAATATATTTTCTAACAATAGGAGGCCCATTGAGATTTTTTTTTTTTGACAAAAAGGCCCAGTTACATTCTAATAATTTATTGCCTCTAATTATAGAACTTAGGTTTTTATTTGATTTTATATTTTCCTATAATTTATCATAAGAATTCTCAACCAATGAAAACCTTTTTTAAACTATATATTAAAATCAAACATACACCAGTAAGAACTAGTAATAATTAACACACAATTAATAATAATATGTAATAAATGGACAATATTTGCATAAACAAATCGCAGAAAAAATATAATCGAATATATAAATCAAAAGTAGGTAAATAAATCCAAAGATAAAAAGTCATATCCGCTCCGCTAGAACTAACCAATGTGTCCACCACGTAAATGATAAATCTACTATATATATACTATTAACTAATAATAAATAATAAAAAAATAAAATAGGTGAGCTATAATAATCCCACAATTTGTTCAAAAAAAAAAAAAATCCAAATCCTAGTTGTTGCCCGTTGGAAACTCGCAGCTGCCGAATTCTGCAAAAACATAAAATTAAATAACAATAATAAGTCATAAATAAATATGAAATCAAACGGTCAACGTATTAATTATGAATCATTGAAATTATTTTGACCAATAATTGGATGACTTACTGGGAGAGTGAGTGATGACGTAAGCAGCTCCGCCAAAATCGCAGGTCCCACTCTTGCGATGGTTCTTCTGATAGTAGCTATTGAACGCGTAGGATGCATGCGCCTCCAGGCTGCTAGGATTGTAACACGTGGCACCTGGCTGAATCGGACGGCAGTCAGCGCCTCCCTCCCCACACGCATAATCCAGCGCCTCCTTCAGCTTCTTCTTCCCAGCCTTCTCATTCGCCACGCACCAAGTCTGCCCCGCCGCCGCAGCCGGCGCCGGCGCCACCTTTGTCTTGCTCTCCGTCATGTTGGGGGCGGCGGTGAGGCCCTCCACCGTGAGCGGGATGTCGTAAACCTTCTTCTCGTCGGGGAAGAACAGCCCGTAGTTTCGCTCCGACGTGGCACCGGTCTTCTGGTTTTCGTTGAAGAGCGCGAATAGGTAGACGTTGAGCGGCTCGTCGGGCCGGAGTGGGGTCCCACCGCCGGTGAGAACGCGCCGGACGAGGTTTCCGTTGTACGCGGCGGCGTTGTCGACTCCGGCGCCGATTTCGTTCTCGTCGCCCTTCGACGGCCAGCCGGTTTCCGATATCACGATTTTAGCGTCCTTGTAACCCACGGCGGCCGCCGCCGCGAAGACGGCGTCGATTTGGGCTTCGAAGAGGCTTTTATAGAGGAGGCCGTTGTTGGAGTCAGGGTTGCCGGAGTTGTTGCGGAAGACGGCGTAGTCCAGCGGGATGGTGTCGGTGTTGGCGATGTAGGCGAAGAATGGGTAAGCGTTCACCATGAGGTACGAACCGGTTTCTTTTAAGAAACTCAGCATCGGTTTAATTACCGGTTCGATTAGTTCCGGTTTGAACGAACCGGAGGAGGAAGGGTATGAGTTTTCGAGTGCGCTGAGCGCAATCGGGGAGGACACTTTGATGGAGGAGGCGGCGTTTTTAGAGAGAGAAGCGTGGACGTTTTTCATGGCGGCGACGAGGTATTGGGTGGTGTTCGCCGGATCGACGAAGACCTCGTTGCCGACGGCGATTGCTTCGATGATGGTGTTCGGGTGGTAGGCGAGGATGTTGGACTGTACCCAAGCGTCGGTGAATGAGGTTCCGGCGGCGGCGGAGGCCAGCTGCTCGTTCGGGAGGGCGACGGTGAGGGCGATGCCGGAGCCGGAGAAGGCGGAGAGGACGTCGGAGTTTGTGTCGTAGAGTTTCACCTTGGTGATACCCTGCGCTTTGAGGAGCTGCACCACCTGCGGCGGCGAGGGGAGATTATCGGCGATGCGGCCGTAGTTGATTCCGATGGTGCCTCCATCGGAGAAGACGGGTACGATTGAATTCGAAAAGCAGACGAAGATGAGAAAAGCGCAGAGAAAGTGTGATAACTGTGTGAAAAACTCCATTGCAAAATATTTTTGTAGAAATTTAGAAGAATTAGAGCGCTCTTATATAGAGCGTGGATTTTATTTTTTTACAGTGGTGGAGTTAGTGAGGGGGGTGGGGGTGGTGGGGTACGAGTGGGGCCCACCCCTGTATGTAAATCTGTTTTACTAGCTATTAATTATACCTAATTATGAGTAAACCGAATATTAGGTGATTATTTAGTGTAATTTAAGGAAATTTACCAAAATTAATAATTAGAAAGTTAATATTGGTTTATCAAAATTGTTTCTTGGTGAACGTTGAGGATTTTATTGCAGTTTTTATTAGTTACTAAGATACTATAAGATAAGAAGAGAATATTTGGTTAATTAAGAATTTTTATTTGCCTCTCTCAAAAAATTAAAATAAAAATTGAATTTTTATTTGCTTAAAAATATCAAAATAATTAATTAAATAGTTTTATTTCCATGTAAATTAAAAATAAAAAAAGGAAAATCAAAGAGCGGAATAATACCCACTAAAAATCATCATGGTAATGTGGTTTATTCTACACGATCCCCACTTAATAAAATTGACCGTGCGATATATAATTATTTACATAAATTAATTAATTAAAAATAATTATAATTACTTAAATAGATTTACGTGATATATTAGCTATTAATCATCATGGTAAATACCTAATACAAAATGTAACTATAGGCTTGGATTTTGGTGGCCTACCTTGTTGTTCGATGTGGTCAATCCCACCGGATCCTTCCCTTTTTTTCAATCAAATCTTATTTATTTTATTTTTATTAAATGATGGTTATTGCATGCATTATTTTTTTTCCCTAATTAAAAAAGAAAAATAAAAAGAAATTGGGAATGATGAAGGCAGTGAATATATGTTGATTGGATTTAATTTACAGGAAATATGAACGTTGGAGGTGCCAGATAGGCATGATTATTTATTCATTATTATATTACGACAAATGTTGTCATATCTAAGATGGGGTCAGTGTACGGTATGTTCTTATTACAACGGGTTTTAGATTCTGACAGAAAATGATATATTCATTTTCTTTTTGTTTTATTTTCTCAGTTTTTGTATCTTTATAATTTTTTTCATATTGAAATCTTTAAATTTGATGTTTTATTCCATTTAAAACATTCAAGAAATTCTTCTATACACTTTTTTTTTTTAATATCGCCAATTTTATTTATAGTTTCTCTATGCAAAATAACTTGGTGCGACATGAATTTATCAAAATTTATAATGTTATTTCAAATAATCAAACATTAATTCTAATGTAATTGGACTATAAATATTATGGGCTCAACCTCATACGAAAAGATAATGGATTCGATTACATGCACATACCAAATATGCAAAATTAAATTATTGTTGGGCCATCATAAATTTATTTTATTACCGCATACCCTTAATTAGATTAATGTGGTATTGAAGCGTATAGAGATTACCTTGATTATTATTGAGACAATTAATTGATTTTTAAGCACTTTTCATGCTTTATGAAAATCTTCTTTATTTTCTTTACATTTTAGGGTGACTTAAGTAATAGAGAGTTTTCGTGCGAGTAAGGGAGTTGTCGACCCTAATGTATGGGTGTCCCTATTTAACCAATTGAAGATTAATTATCGATTAGGAAAATATATTGACTGCGTCGAATTTCTTACTCACGATGAAGAATGATAGCTTTAACAATATGAGAAAAAAATAAATAATATCATACTAGTAATTTATGAGGTGTTTGCATAAGTTTTTGAAAATAATTTATGAGGTGTTTTTGGATCATAATTCATTCATCAAAAAACTCTGCAAACGCCACCTCTTTATTACTAGACTTCAATATATGTATGCAACACAAAAACTTATCGAACCATCATTTAAAAGTCTTGCCAATAATTAATTTCATGTGTGTTGAATGTTGATAAGTAATTACCCACATACATTCAAGCCAATTGGTCAATCTTGTAACAATAGAGGTTAGCATTGTTGCTTATACGGTGAGAGGTAGATGCTACATTTGACTATATATATACTCGGTGAGTGTTTATCGTAGATAAATCTAATTATAACAAACAACGAAGTATACGTACACTTGAATACGTATAATTAAGTGCAAATCTACGATTAATACTTACCCATTGCATATAACTCGATGATGCATCTAGATTGTCTTATATACATGACTAGTAGTCGGTCTAGAATACTACTAAACAGGGGGCCCCCTCTACTATACCCATTTCAAGTGCAAATTAATATTTAGCAACAAGTCAAATTCGCTTTGAATTCATCACTATAAATTTAGCATAACAAAAATGTAATAGTCAAACCCAAAAACATCGATTGAATGGTTACACGTATGTATTACCAGAAGAAAAATGACAAAAGGGAATGATATAATGAGTAAACACGCTTTTGACGTATTGTTTATTGAATTTAGTTTATCTACTCTTCATTTTTTCGCGTAAAGTTCATTAACTTTTCAATTAGATCTTCTTTCTTATGGATAAAGACAGTGTTAGTTGATTGCAGTTGAGACTTTTGAGGAATGAGATAAACACTATCGAGCCTTTGTGCTCTCATTAATACAATTAAATGTATAAAATAATTTGCAACCACTAGTGAAAACATGTTCACTCTCATATAATAATTTATTTGAGAAGCTCGACTTAAAAAATGTTCGACAATGAAATTCAGAATCGATTATGACAAGCTGAACTATTATCTTTTTTTTTTTTTTTGATAAATAATGTTAATAGTCGACCTCTTTGGCATTATTATATATTATTATTTTCTTAGAAGAAATAAAATAATTTGAGATATCGGGAAAGAAAGCTGCGGCGTTATATTAATGGTTGGTGCAATAAGCATGCATGAAGTCGGCAGTTGTTTCTGTTCACCAAAACCATAACACGCTTATAGGTCAAATTGTGGTTGAAACATATGGATATACTGTAGGCGGTTTGAATTTCGATTTTCTGCGTAGGACATTTCATATTTAAAAATATCCTCAAGGTTCCGATATTTTCAAGTAGGGTCTCGTTTAATTGTCGGGATAAAATCAACCAATTAAAAATCTCCTTCAAGCAAAATAAGACAACATAAACCATGAATTATAACAGAATATATACAGATCAACCCAATAAGTTATTGGGGATACCAAACACCAAACGAAGTTCGACTATTTAGTTAACAACGACTAATCCCCAAACAAACTAGCCCTAGGAGTAATAAATAGTACTAATAGAAATTCTTCAAACCACCTACTTAATTATTTTAAATGCTTATTAATTTTTTTATTTTTTTTTGAGTAATAAATGCTTATGAATTTGTTGTAAAATTTGAAGTTTTTGGGAAGCAGTTAATATTAATTTTTCTAGGTCTATGGGTTGGGCTTTGATTTGCTTTGGACTTTTTATATTTCGTGAGCCTCTTAATTTAAAAAATAAACTTAATGAGATTAGGCCCATTTAGGCATATAACCATGATCACCGGCCTAATCTACAATAAATAATTAAATCAATTTTCTTTAATTTATTTTTTATTGGTTTAAAATACATCTCACTTAAAATCTAGAACCAAAAATTAAACTCCAAACATTAAAATTTTATTAATAAATGTAAAGTTGCTAAATTAATAGGTGTATTTTCAAATAAAGTGAGAGTATTTTGCCTACAAAAAAATCTTGTAAGTAAAAAAAAAGTGAAAATTGGGAGCCGATGATGTAAGGGTGGTTGCGTAATTTCCAGTGGTTAATATCTACATTAATTGCGTTTAATCTGCAGGACAAATGCAGATTCCCCATTGGCTGTTTCCTTTATACACTGCACACGTCGAACAATTAAACGCATGCTTTTACTGTCAGATGAGAATCTAACGCATCCCCACCGTCAATTAAAAAATAGTACTTGACACTGACTTTTCAGTGAAAAGTCAAAACCCTCCCTCGAAAAACCCAGCAGAGTAAAACATCGCCGGCGCCGGAGGAAGAAAAAGGATGTCAACTTCCGGCGAAGAGGAAAACCAGAAGCCCATTGCACAACCGGGATACGTCAACATCAAAGTCAATAGCCAGGTATAACATTAATAAATTTGTAAACTTCAAAAAAATAAAATTAAACTGATGTTGTGTAATTCATGTGTTGGTGAAAAATGAATGAAGGATGGAAAGCAAGTGTTCTTCAGGATAAATAGAAATACACCGCTGAAGAAACTAATGTGCGCATATCGTGCTAAGGAATCTCTGGATAACTCCATTGTCTTCCTTTTCAACGGTGGCCGTATCCGTGAAACGCACACCCCCGATAAGGTCTCTCTCTCTCTAGATTTTCTCTGTTTCTCTCTCTAAGCATTATATTATTATACTGACGGTTTAATTTGTTTTAATATATATTATACAGCTGGAAATGAAGGATGGTGATGAGATAGATGCTATGTCTAACCAGATTGGAGGTGCTACTTCTACTGATCATGCTTAATTAATCATCCCAGTTTCTCTCTCTCTCTCTCTAGATCTCTCTCTCTCTCTGTAATCCATCAAATTTGGCTATTATATATGTTGTATCCATCTTCATATGAACATTCTGGAATATATATTTAATTATCTATTTATTCTAAAATGTTGAAACTTTGACCAACTTTGCCATTCCACGTGATATTGGTATTGTTGTGTGCATTATTTGTATTGCAATTTCACTATTTAACAATTTCCTTATTATATAAAAAAAAAATATTTTGAATTTTTAAGCATTTTAATTAATAAAATATTGTCCCGGAGATATTATCTAGTGACTGCTCAGGCCAAAACCATACTTCTTAACTTCCAACTAGTTCACTGAGGTGGTGCTTCTAAAAGTTTTTGAAAAGTGATTATGAGTTTTTTTTTTCACAATTATTTTTGCTTCGTTTTGAATGCTAGTTTTTACTTCTACTTTTACTCAAATAAGTTGATTTAATCTAAAACATAAGAAGCACTCTTGCAGCAACTTTTCTTTAATAACTTGCTCAAAGATGAAGGTTGATTGTCATGGAATTTGCAAGTACCCTTTAATTTTTAGAAATAAATTAATACTTATCATTAACTTAATTCATAATCATCAACTTTTGTTTTGCCAAAAACATTTGCAAACATCACTGTAATGAAATCTAAAAATGAGCTCATATGCTTAGTGATTTGCATTGAAGTATAAAATGGCCTAGAATTATTTTGATAACTTCCATTTTGAACAAATCGAAAGCGGAACTCGAAAACTCAAAATTCGAAAATCGAAACCGAGACCGAGACCGTACATGTTAAGACATCTAATCATGTACAATGGCATCTATTGTTTATATGTTGTCAAACGTCATCTAACTATTTGCAATGGGCAAAATTTAATTTTGGCCCCAAACGTGACCTTATTGTTATTTTTTTTTTGTAGGTGGAGGGGGGTATGAATTACAATGATTAAATTTGAGTTTTATTTAATTTTGCTAAATTCGTGTTAACTAATGTTATTTAATATATGTTTGCATAACATAAAAAAAAGAAAAAACTAAGAATCAACATAAGTTAATATTTTAATTTTGTGATTACAATTTAAGATTGAATATAATTTTTAGGGGAAATATGCAATACCCCCCTCACGTGGAAAATATTTTGAATTAAACCCAATTGATTTTAAAGACTTTTCCCATAACCCAAATCCCAATTTAAATTAGTGAGACCCCCTCACCAGATATGATAAGACTAAAGTGCCCCTATGCATTAGGGTTTTAATTTTATTCCACATTCTTTTATCACTCTCACGTTCACACGCATTCTCTCTCTATATCTCTCTCTCACACGTTCACTCTCCCTCTGTTCTTTTCTTCTTTTTTTTTTTTTTTCTTTGCAGATCTGTAACGCTATCCTTCGAGATTTACACCAAGGCCATCGTTCTCCTTCGAGATTTACAGGCTGCCGTTCTCCTTCGAAATCTACACCAGGGCCGCCGTTCTCCTTCGAGATTTACACTAGCGCCGCCGCCCTCCTCCCTCTTTTTCACACCACCGCCATTATCGACTCAACCCACCACCGATCACAACGGTCGCCTAGGGTTCTGCCGTCAAACCTCCCAACAAATCACTTTATCTTATATGTATAGATATGTGGGTCTGTGTGTGTGTGTTTTGTATTTGTGTGTGAAATATTCTCTCTCTCACTACCTCTCTTTCTCTCGTGTTTTTTTTCCTTTAGATCCGTCTCTTGTGATTTTGTATGTGGGTCTTTAGATTTGTCTTGTGATTTTTTTTTTCTTTGTATATTTCCCTTGTGATTTTTAGATCTTTGGATCTCTTGTGATTTTGTGTGTGGGTCTGTGGGTGAAATGTATGTGTGTGTGTGTATGTGTGTGTTTTGTATATGTGTGCGTTGTGTGTGTGTGTTTTATGTCTGTATTTTTTTAATTTTTTTTCAGATCTGAAAGTATAGTTTCAGATTTGAACAACAACAGTAATATGACTATAGTCATATTCGAATATGACTATTGTTGAATATGACTGTAGTCGTATTCAAATATGTTCTATTTTATCGTTTCACTCAACTCTGTTTATCTTTTTGTTTTTTTTTTCTGCCGTCTTTTGAGGTGCTTGACTATTCAATATAATGGAATCATAATTTATTAGTTAATGTATTTGGAAAGCTACTCTCTCTTAATTCTTGTGATTTTCATTTTGTGTCAGGTTCAAAATTCACACAATATAAAATACAGTGGTACCGTTCAAGGCTTGAAGTATATATATAGAGCTGAAGGCTTTAAAGGATTGTTTAAAGGCAATGGCACTAATTGTGCTCGTATTTTCCCAAATTCGGCAGTAAAGTTCTTCAGCTATGAGCAGGCATCCAAGTACGGCCCTCCAACAGCATAAATGTTATAACTTCTTTTGGTTATTATGACAGATTTTGCAGTCAGTGCTGATTATCTTTACACTTCTTTGTTTGTGAATTTTTAAGTGCTAGTCTGCTAGATGATTTAATTTTCAGTTCTGATGGTTTAAGAAAGGGTGGATTGATCTTGTCCTACAGAATGATTGGGGAGAATATTACTAGGTAGAAAAGTTATATTCGAATATGACTATTGTTGAATATGACTGTAGTCATATTCGAATATGTGTGGATGTTGATTGGATTGTTTTCGTAAATAATATTTTTTCTAGATAAAACAGCAGTAGTAACATGACTTTAACATGACTATAGTCATATTCGAATATATGACTATTGTGAATATGACTACATCTATCTAAACTTTTCAAATTGACTTGTAATAATAAGATTCAAATTGTGATATTTTGTGTGGATGTCGATTGGATTGTACTACATACATAATCGGAATTTTTTAAATTAAAATGTAAAAAACTGCAAGATAAAGAAAGAATATGACTACAACTTATATAGTCACATATAGTCATATTCAACTATAGTCATATTCGAAGTAGTAAACCTGTGGAGAGAAAAAATAAATCAATTTTTTGTTTAAAAAAATATTTTTATTAAAAAGAAATGCTAAATAATATTCGAAATAATAAAAAATAAAAAATAAAAAAATTCATTTTTTTTATTAGGTTACAGATTTTCAGCAATTAGGAAAAAAAAAAGAAAAAAAAAAGGAAAAGGAATAATTGGGACAAAATGTGCTAATTGATATAAGGGTAGTATTGGGAATAAAATTTCTAGGGGGTTATCACAAAGAAAGATTTAAGGGTCGGATATATCACAATTTATTAGCGATATGAGGGGCTTATCACTAATGACCCCTAATTTTTAATGTAAATTATTTTTATATATTTATTAAATAAAAAAATAAAAAAAGGAAAAGAAAAATAAAGACGCACGGTAAAGCTTAACAGTAAACCCTCATTCAAAAAAGCAGGAGAGAAGAAAAAGGGCGGAATTAGACAAACAGCGGCGTCGGCAACAGTCGTCGTTCACGATTAATCTCCGGGAGCAGAAAATCGTCGCCGGAAAAACCAAATGTCGACTCCGGGAGAAGGTGAAGAAGTGGAAGATAAGAAGCCCATAGTTCAATCTCGATACATCACCATCAAAGTGAATAGCAATTATAAGCAGGTCTCACTTTTTTTTTTTTTTTTTTTTTATATCCTTTTCTCACATTTTCTTTTTTTAAATCCTGATTTTTTGATTATTTATAAATTATCCTCTGTTAATATTGCATGATTTTTTTTTAATTATTAATTTTCCTGGACTTTCCTCTTTATGTGAAAATTAGCAAACCACCATTTCGTTCTTCATCAATTATGGGCTTGTTGACTGATTTTGACCAAAAAAAAAAAAAGAAAAAAAAAAGTGTTCTTGAAATCGAAGGGTGGGGTTGAGGATACATTGCTCTTGATGCACTTAGGAGGTTACATACTTCCATATGAAATAAATTTGATTAAGGTCCCATTTGGCTAAACTTATTTTAAACAGTTGATAAGCTCTTACAGCTTCTTGTCTTACAGCTTGTTTTAAGAGCTGATAAGTTGTTACGTCTTAATTTTTAATTTTTAAGATTATTTAAAAAAAAAATTACCAAACATTCTGGAAGAGCTTATAAGCTCTTAAACATGTTATAAGCTCTTTTTAACAGTTTATAAGCGTAGCCAAACACCCTCCAAGTCTTGTTAAACCAAAATCAAGAAAGAATGATCTACATCTCCTAGCTAAAGATTAGATTTTTCCTTTCTTCTTTTCATGAAATTGTCTATTTCGCATCGTTTTGAAATTTTTTAATCAAGTGTTTCTGTTGTTTTGATTTTGTTAATTCATATACTTGTTTAACTTGAATAAAATATGACCGTTCGTTCGTTTAAAAAATGTTGCAGAAACAGTAACTTTGTTATTTTGTGTTGTGTTGTGTTGATTGAAGGATGAGAATGCAGTATTTTTCAAGATAAAGAGAAACGTAAAACTGAAGGTACTCATAAGGGCTTATCGTGAGCGACAGTCGGTGGATGACTCCATTGTCTATCTTTACAATGGCACCAAAATCGGAGATGAAGATACTCCCGATTCGGTATCTTTATCCACTCTACTTTCTCTCTCTAAAGGATGCACTATCCCCACGTTTTTAGGGTCATGAGTTTTGAAATGATTTTTTTTCTTCTCTCCCGTTTTTTTTCTTTCCGCACAGCTGGAAATGGAGGATGTTGATGAGATAGATGCTATGGCCGCCATGGATGGAGGTGCTTCAGATTAGAAAATATTTATAATTTAAATTATTGAGTAGCCCAGAATCTTGTTGATGACATTCAACTTTGAAATTGTACGAGTAACTTGTTAGTTTCTTCAGTTATGGTGTCTGATACTCGATCTCGCTTGTTCGTGTTCTTGCCGTTTCTGATAACTCATCTCTCTTTTTTTGGTTCCTATGAGGAATACTGAATGAAGTTATTTTAAACCAAGTATATATCGATCCCTTGTCCTGCAAGGTATCGCCTAGCGGTTGCAGCAAGTGAGCGTCAATTGACGCAAGTTTGAATCTCCATGTTAAAGGTGGCTAAGTGAAGTTTGTCACACATGGTTATTCTGTGGTTTACGCAAAGTATATGCCTCTGTTAAAAAAAAGGCGTTCTATCATCTCCGATTTTATGTTTATATTAGTACTTTATTTGAGTCCAGTCCTTACATTTTTGTTAAATTTATTTTATTGAATTTGAGTTTTGGTGTCATAATGTAGTTTCTGAATTTTCTTTTTATGAAATTAAATTAAATAATTATTTGTTATTTTGTTTCAGAAAAATAGATGTAATTGGTCCATCACTTTCGGCACTTCAGCTCGGCCCATTGCTTCAATTAATTCCTGGGCATGCACCAATTGGCTGGGCCTATAAAAAAATAAAATAAAAAAATCAGCTCATTCATAAATTTAACAGAGTTGACACTAAAAAAATAAAATTTCAATTAATAAATTCAAGATTAATTAGTAAAAGCTCTTTTAAATTTGGTTTATTAACATGAACATATGATCCGTTAGATAATATATTGAATTCAACTTGAACAGTATGAAAAATTGGAGTAAAATACATTCAAAATTAATATATTACTGGTTCTTGTTTATTTTACCCGCATTCAACCATATACGTGCACTGAGTAAATCTACATTCTCGTATAATAATTTGGAAACTATAAGAAAGACGTAAATCGTACTAAGCTAATCATGTGTAATAAGTCTGACCTAGCAACCGTTAATAATGAGATTCAAACTTGAATCAACGAACACAAGCTCACTTGCTCGAACCGATAAGCTATCCCTTGCGGAACAGAAGACCCGACGGTCAAAGAATTAATTTCATGGAGAGGTTAGCAGTAAATGAAGGGTTTAACTCCTTTAAGATATTGCATTGTATTTTTTTTAAAATTGATTTATTTGGGCGATTGGTGTATGGTGTGGTGTACCTATATCTAAATAATAATAATTTGGTTTGAAAAACAAAATGAAACGTCATATAAAATATAGGGACTAAAATGCAAATATTTGATATTAGGGGACTATTCGCATTCCCCACCCGGGCCGGGCAACCCAAGCATTTGGGCCAAATCCCAATAGATAAAAGATAGCTTACAAATTACGCAGCGTACTTTTCTAGGTCTGAGGATTCGTTCTTAAAGGCGGGGAAACGTAAAATTCCAATCTGACGACATCGTATCGATCCGTAACAGACTTAAATTCCTGTCCGTCCATCACGCATTAGAACCATCTGAACCGTCAAATCAATCCCCCCACATCACCCTCAATTCCTCGGCTACTCCCAATAAATTAATAAAAAAAAAAGTTTATTCGAAAAGAAAAATAGATAAAAATAAAATAAAAAAATTCAATATAAAAGTGGTGGTATTTTGTGCGTGTCCATATCAAACACTCAGTCGAAGAAAATAAGGGCAAAAAAACCGGAGGAGAATCAGACTAATCGGCGGCGGAACAATGTCCGGTGTTGAGGAAGATAAGAAACCCGCCGATGGTGCGGCGCACATCAATCTGAAAGTCAAAGGCCAGGTTTTACTACTACCCCTAATTTTCCCGCCGTCGATTTGTCGAACCGAATTTATTCGTTGTGTTTTGTGTTTAATCGTGTGTTTTTAGGTTTGGGAATTGTTGCTACGTTTAATTTTGTTCTGACAGCAATTTATTTAAAAAAAACATATCGTGTAATTGCTATTGTTTGGGTCGATTTTTGCCACTCTTTTCAGTTGTATGGTGAGATTTTGTTGAAATTGAGTAGAAATGATTTCTTATTGGAGGATTTATGGAATGGTTTTTGGTATATGAAGTTGGACTCAGTGATTTGGAGTTTCACCGATTTTTCGTGTTTTTGAAATTGAAAATCTTACGCTTAACAATATGTTGATTTTGCTTAAATGCTTTGTAAATCAGAATTTAGGGTTTATGGGGAATCTCAAGTTCAGTGATCCGTCGAAAACCCCATCCAACTTTTTCAACAGAATAAACCTCAATTAGACAAAATTTTGAAAATATTGAAGATCGGAGATATTTTATTTCTTAGTTAATTTAGAAGTCTACAGAACTATTACGATATTATCTGGGCATATGCTTTGCTGAGTCTTGTCGGGTCAGAATTCTGGCTATGAGCGTCTTTTCGACTTTGTCTTAATATCTTTTGTTGGGTTATTACTTGGTACTATGTAGTCTCTGTGACTTGTATAGTGATTTATGGTTTTTAAGGATTTTTGAAGTGGTTTTTAAGGATTTGTGAAGTGGTTTTTAGACCTTCGTCTAATCCGGGATGTTCATGCAACTCGATTGTTTTCTTGTAAAGTTGTACTGATTAATTCAGTAGATTATTATGTGTGTCTATAGCTAACTTGCTGCCTCAATATGTAAAAGTTCACTTCTGTTTGGAAATTCTGAATTTCATGAGTTTGTCTGTTTTCTTTTTTTTTTTCTCTTAATTTCATTTTGTTCTAACTTGTATAGTGCAATCTTGTGTTTATATTATGCATGCTATAGTATTTGGAAATAATCAAGCTTCTTGAGAAAGAGCTGCACCATACTTGTGATTTAAAATTTAACAAAACACACTGCTGAAAAGTAATTTTTTGAAATTTTCATTGGAAAGTGTTTATCCGTGGCGTTCTTTATCTTCACTGAAAGCACTGCATCATTGCCATACTAAGTTTTATATACTAAATGCTCCTTTTGATTGGTTTTATTGATAAAGTTTCACGATAACTTTGAGATCTTCTAGTAAGAGATGTATCATTTGGTATATTAATTTTTATTTTCTCGAAGCTGGTTATTCAACTTTAATTGGTGATGGTTTTTGGTAGGATGGGAATGAAGTTTTTTTCAGGATTAAGAGAAGCACACAACTGAAAAAACTTATGAATGCCTATTGTGATCGTCAGTCAGTGGATTTCAATTCCATTGCTTTTCTGTTTGATGGGCGTCGCCTCCGTGGGGAGCAAACCCCCGATGAGGTCATCTCTCTCTCTCTCTCTCTCACACACACACACACAAAAGAATACTTGTCTTAGCAAAATACGGTGAATTAATTATGGAATTTTGCGTTTTTCAGCTGGAAATGGAGGATGGTGATGAGATAGATGCAATGCTGCACCAGACAGGAGGGTATGCAAGCGCTTAAATGGGAGCATAGAAAGAAAGGGCGGAATTGTAATATAAATTAGTTTTTCTCGAGACTTTGTTTTTTAACACATGAGAGTTCTAGATGTTTATGTCATTAGTTTTATTTGGTTTTAAGAAAACATATTATGGTCTATCGACACCACATCTGCCGCTGAAAATTGAACTTGTTCTCCAGCATGGTGTTATTAAGCTACATTGTTTGCCCTGACTCTTTCGTTTCTGTTTTCAATGAGCCCATTACTTAACCATCCATTCCGTTTTGTCAGTTTATTGTTCATTGCTTTTTTCTCTTCGCGCAGTAGATAGACAGTATGCTGTGATGGAAACTTCATGAGTTTCGCAAGAAAAATTTATGCCATTCGTGAGGCGAAGTTGAACTAGTGGCTACAATACAGCGGCGGAGCCAAATATAGGTATACGAGGGCTATGACCCTCGGCTGCTTCTCGATTACATGTTCTATTATATAGATTATTTATTTTGTTCGATATGTGTAGCAGCATTGTTTGCCTGTTATAATTATTTTATCGCATATTGGTCCCCCTAGGGGTGAAAGTTGGAAGAAGTGGATAGGTAATGACATCTTTGGAAGATTTCCATTTTTATGGGAACTACAAAATCACTTTCAATTCCAAAAATCTTGAAATGTCATTATGATTTCAGAAATTTTGGAATTTTACAAAATCACTTTCAAGCATGTCGGACCTTTGACATAGGCAATTTAAGCAAGTAGTGGTGTAAACTAGTCTAGCCGAACATGTGGCTGTTCAAGTTTGTTTGATTTTTTATTGAGCTTTTAAAATTGTGTTTGAACTTGGTTTGATAAGCAATGTTTTTTTTTTTTTTACGTATTTTGTCATTTTGTTCTAATTGAACTCAAGGTCAAACCGAGCTTCTTAAGTGTTATCAAACGAAAAAATGTTAAAACGAGCTCTGAACAAATGATCTAGAATTGAGTGTCGAGTAGTTTGGTTCGAATTTCAGCCGTATAAGCAAGCTCCTAAGGGCCCCTCAAAATTTTAGGTAACTTTTACAATTTAAACAAAGTTATAGGACTTACTTAAAAAAGGGAAGAAATGTAAATAAACTAAATCCGTGATTTAACCCATTTCAGAATCCCGCCTTTGCCGTACAAGTATACTCAACTCGTCAGTTTCTGCGATTATCGCCGCCAAACTGGTAACATTCAAATCCTAGGGTTTCGCTTTCCCCCCAAAATTCCTGAAAATGGCCATCGCCGGCAAAATCATACGGCTAGAGCTGGAGAACTTCAAATCCTACGAAGGCCACCAGATCATCGGCCCCTTGTACGATTTCACCGCCATAATCGGGCACAACGGCGCCGGAAAGTCCAATTTAATGGACGCCATAAGCTTCGTCCTCGGCGTCCGCACCGGCCAGCTACGCGGCACTCAGTTGCGCGAACTCGTTTACGCGTTCGACGACCGTGAGAAGGAGGAGCAGAGTAGTGGACGACGCAGGGCACACGTCATGCTCGTGTACCGGATGCCCGACGGGTCGGAGATTGAGTTCACCCGATCAATCACCGCCGCCGCCGCCGGTGGCGGCAGCGAGTACAGGATCGGCGACCGCATCGTGAATTGGGACGAGTACAGCGCGAAGCTGATGTCACTCAACATCCTTGTCAAAGCTCGGAATTTCCTCGTCTTTCAGGGTGACGTGGAGTCCATTGCTTGTAAGAACCCTAAGGAACTGACAGCCCTTGTTGAACAGATCTCCGGCTCCGAAGAGTACAAGTGCCGGTACGAAGAACTCGAAGTGCAGAAAGCTGAAGCCGATGAAAACGCCGTGCTTGCTCACCGGAAAAGGAAAACCATTTCAGCGGACAAAAAGCAAAAGAAATTGCAGAAATAGGAGGCTGAAAATCATCTCAAATTGCAAGAGCAACTTAAATTGTTGAAGCGAGAGCATTTTCTGTGGCAACTGTCGAACATACGGAAAGATATCGAAAAGGCGAACGAAGAAACGGATGCAGAAGGCAATAGCCTGAAAGGAGTTTTGCATGAATTGGATAATTATAAAGGTGAAGCAAGGGAAAAGAATAGAGAAACAAGCTGGATATATGAAAGAGATTGAAAAATGTTGGGGAAGGATCACGGAGAAACAAACTAGGGTCGGGCTCGATAATTACCGATCGGAGCTTGTGAAGTTAAAGGATGAGATTTCTCGTATTATGCCGAAAATGAAAAGTATTGATAATGAGATGAATAAGAAAAAGGAAGAAAAAGGCCTTATCATCGGATTAAAGAGGAGGCCTGGACTAAATCTGCGATACTAAATGACGAGAAAAATGTTTTAGACAGGCAACAGAAATCCGATATCGAAAAGAAGAAGAATTCGGAAGAAAACGTTCGGCAGTTGGGAAATCGAAAGCTGGAGCTAGAGTTGCAGGAGAAACAAATGCGAGCCAGGCTCGTGCAAAATTCTCGATTCGGTCGGAAAGGATAATGAAGAAATCACAAGAGTGCGTAAGGAACAACTCAAGATGAAAGATAACGTTGCGCAGATATTATGCGTTGAACGCAGAAATGAATGATTTGGAAAATCGGCTATGCGAATTGAGGGATTATAAGCGTGAAAACGAGAGAGATTTTAGGTTATCTGAGACGGTTAAAACCCTCAAGCAACTCTTCCCCGGTCGCATGGTCGAGCTCTATAGGACAAGGCAAGAGAGGTACGGGTTTGCTGTCACTGTTGCTATGGGCAGATTCACGGATGCTGTAGTAGTGGAGGATGAACGTACGGGAAAGGAGTACATCGAGTATTTGATAAAACAACGGCTACGCCGAAATGACATTTATACCCCTACGGTCGGTGCGTGTGAAGCCAGTAGCAGAGAGGTTGTGTACGCTTGGCGGGACTGCGAAACTGGTCTTTGATGTCGTTGAATTCGACCGTGCGTTCGAAAAAGCCGTTGTTTATGCTGCTGGAAATACTTTAGTCTGTGATGAGATTAGTGAAGCCAAGCGTCTTAGCTGGAGCGGGCAGGGGTTCTTGAAAGTTGTGACTATTGATGGTACCTTGTTGACTGGATCTGGTACAATGACTGGCGGCACAAGTGGCGGCAGCGACGTCAAGAAAGTGGAAGCTTTTGCGAGGCTTAAAAGGAAAAAAGAAGATCTGGAGGTGGAATTGGAAAGGCTTGGCTCGGTAAGGGAAATGCAGCTGAAGCAATCCGAAGCGCAAGGAAAAATTATCAGCCTTGAAGAAAAGATACGTTAATCAGAAGTTGAGAAGAGAAGTATCGATGATAGACTGAATAATTTGGAGGCGAAGAAGCAAAATATTGAAGATGAAATTGACAGAATTGTCGGATTTGAGTTCTTCGCTACTGTGTGAAAGCGAAAGGGATAAGGTGGAAGCAGAATTCAGACAGAAAATAGATTCCTTGACGTCTGAAATAGCGACTAGCGGCACGAATATGAAGGCGGTGGTTCAGTACGAGGCGGTGTTGGAAAAGGAAAGAGAGGCGTGCAGAGAATGTGAAGAAGCTAGATACGAACAGAAGAGAGTGAGCGGCGAATACAACAACGTTTAAGATTACGAGGCATGAGTTGTTTATGGATGCTTTTAACCACGTTTCGAGCAACGTAAATAAAATATACAATGAACTGACAAAGAGCAGTAGTAGTACACATGAAGTAGGTGGAACCGCTCATATGAGCTTGGAAAACCTAGACGAACCGTATTTATACGGGATTAAGTACAGCGCAATGCCGCCACATAAGCGATATAGGGATATGCTACAATTATCTGGCGGTGAGAAAACTATCGCTGCACTTGCATTGATCTTCTCCATTCACAGGTACTCATTCATTTTTTTCTTTTTTTGTGGTTATTTATTTTTTCTTTTTTTTAATTCGTCTTGTTAAAATGCGGGTGCGATCGATCGGAATGCAGTTTCAAGCCTTCGCCGTTTTTTATAATGGACGAAGTGGATGCTGCGTTGGATAACTCGAAAGTCGCAAAAGTTGCTAGCTTTATCCAATCGAAATCGAATCCGCAAACGGATGCTGGATCGGGAACCGGATTTCAGAGCATTGTGATATCGTTGAAGCATAATTTCTACGATAAAGCTCAAGCTTTGATCGGCGTTTATCGGGGATTCCGGTAGAGGGTGAGGAAATCCATCTTCTGTTGCCCTTTTTTCATTTCTTCAGCTACAAGTTTCTTCTTAGTTGAAATTGACCAGTTTATGTTGTTGCAGGTGCTCCAGGACGTTGACCTTTGACTTGTCAAACTACCCCGAGTCATGACAAGAAAGTCAATGACATATGCTTCTTTTATCTCTCTCTCTCTCTCTACATATATTATTACACGTTAGTATTATTAAGTGGTTCAAAAATGGTTTTTTTACAGAATGAAACTAACTCTCTATGTTATTATTATTTTTTTCTTTTTTTGGTATTATATAATATATAAACATGGCAGCTTAAATAAGAAAGGGCCGAAGAATCTGGGCAGGGCCAAGACCCGGGAAATCGTATCTGGTAATCAGCGGTTGAGAATTGGCGGTGACATTTCAAATTGGCCCACGCCATTTAGGTATTGCCCTAGCTACTTCAATTACCCTGTTTCATCTCTCTCCTTTGTCGTCTGTCGGTGGCAATACCAAAAAAATTAAAACACTTTTGCCAAAATTAGATTAGGAAAATCGAATTCACGTTTGAAGTCAAAACGATATTAATAAATAAATTTGAAACGACATTTAACATTTCAGATATATAAATGACATCTTTAGTATGTTTTATACATAGCATATATTGATGAAATGCATACGGGACAGAGTTCCAAATACTTTTAAACGTAATACTACACGAACGGTTATTTCTATGCTACACCCAACGAATTTTCTTACCATTGATTTACGTACACGAATGTGGGTGTGTGTGTATATGAATGGTAAAAATCTAGTCATTGTATTTTATCAGATGTAGCATAGTATAAACCTGACAGGAACATCTACATACTCCATACGGTCAGTTGCACACAAGAAAAAGGTGCATTAATTCGATTCTACAGCTAGTAAATGCTTTTTATTTTTTTCTTTCTCTGAAAAATATAAAATAATGTTGTAGAGTTTGAGTATTAAAATTTATGGAATAAACACAATAGCCCATTCATAAGGTAAGAATCAGAATTTTCCTTTACTGGGCACAACTGTTAAATTTCACTTTACGCACATGAAACAAAACATTCACAAGTCAATATATATTATATATATAATATAGTTATAAAATTAACATTGACTACTAGTCTGTGTCGGTCAATGCAAGAATCAATTAATTAAACCACCACCCCAACTCCATACAATTCTGACCCTCATTAAGTAACCAAAACACGATTTACTCAACTAATTCAGCCAAAAAAAATGTAAAATTATTAAATTATTATTAATGATCTCATGCAAGAATCCCCCAATGTCACGTGCCTTTCGTACTATATAAAGAGGGCCACTATCAAAGCAGAGAGAGAGAGAGAGAGAGAGAGAGAGAGAGAGAGAGAGAGAGAGAGAGAGAGAGGTAGAGGTAGAGAGAAAACATGAGAATTGGTTCAATGGCGGAGAAACGGAGTTTCAAATGCAAACCTTTTACAGTTTCGAATTTCGTCGTTTTGGTTCTTTCCCTCTTTCCGAAGATATCCTCATCTCAATCCTATAATTACGGAGATGCCCTCTCGAAGAGCCTCCTCTACTTCGAAGCCCAGCGCTCCGGCCGCCTCCCTTACAACCAGAGAGTCGGGTGGCGCCACCACTCCGGCCTCACCGACGGCCTCGACCAAGGGGTACTACAGTCATTCCCACCTAATAAAATCACCTTCTCGCAATCAATGCATTTATTTTTTGTACACGTGTTTATTGATTTTGGAATATTTTTTTTAATTAATATATATAAATATTTATGTAGGTTGATTTGGTGGGAGGATATTACGACGCCGGAGACAATGTGAAGTTCGGTTTGCCGATGGCTTTCACAATGACGATGCTGTCGTGGGGCGTCATTCAATTCCGGGATCAAATCGCCGACGGCGGCGAACTCCGGCATGCTCTTGAAGCTATCAAATGGGGGATTGATTATTTCATCAAAGCTCACACTCATCCTAATGTTCTGTGGGCCCAGGTCTTTTTTCTTTATTTTTTTAATTTTTTTTAATAAATATTAATATTTAATCCCCCAATCACGCCGGAGAATTATTTGAACGTGCTTTTTTTTTTGAACAAAAGCAGCAGCAGTAAAAATGCCCCTGATTTATGCGGTGGGGTCCGGAATTTCGAAAATCTTGTTTTTCCGGTGTCGGTTTGAAAAAGCAAAATTTAAGAGGCGCATTCAAGAAATTAAATATTATTTTATTATTTTAATCAGGTGGGTGACGGAGATACCGATCACCTGTGCTGGCAGCGGCCGGAGGACATGACGACGTCGCGGCGAGCATACAAGTTGGATGAGGAGAATCCCGGATCGGAGGTGGCGGCGGAGACGGCGGCTGCCATGGCTGCGGCGGCGATTGTGTTTAGGACAACAAACCCACATTACTCACACCTTCTCTTGGAGCACGCGCAGCAGGTATGTTAGTTAATGCGGTTGTTATACAGCCGTGTCTGGGTTTTATTTTTATTAATAATAAATTATTTATTGGATTATTATTATTAAAATGGCTTTGACGTAATCTTGCTTAACTAAACTGATTTAAAATACAAACTAGGATTAGGAGAAATGGAGAGAGAATGTTTCAAAAATAGAGACAAAGCTCTTCCTTAAACAAAACAATTAGTTTTAAGTAATTATGTGCTAATTATGTGTGTATACTTACTACCTGATAATATCTAGATTAAAGAAAATCAAATTTAAACTATTGCAGTTGATTTATGTATTTTAAAAGCTATCAAAATATAGGTCATGCTTTTTAATTATTAGCACATGATGACAAGTATAGCTATAAATAAAAAATGATCGCTCAGAGTAATTAATGAAAACCGATGCCTAGGCCACAATATCTACTAGGTAGTGTGGTTTATTTGATTTGACGTCGTATCCACTAAAATACACCAGGTGATTATTAACCGTTGATCTATTAATACATATATGTTTGTTATTTGCAGTTGTTTGAGTTTGGTGACAAGTATAGAGGTAAATATGATGAGACAATAGAAGGGGCAAAAGGGTATTACACATCGGTGAGTGGCTACAAGGATGAGTTGTTATGGGCAGCATTGTGGTTATATAAAGCCACCGACAATTCAACATATTTGAATTATGCAATTCAAAATGCCAATGCTTTTGGTGGGATCACTTGGGCCATTTCTGAATTCAGCTGGGATGTTAAATTTGCTGGTCTTCAACTCATGGCCTCTTTGGTAATTATTTTTCATTTTTATTTTCTTTTATTAATTATAAGATTAATAATTGTGAAAATAAAGATAAAAAAAATGAAAATATTACCCATCATGCTTCTTATTGATTATTTAGTTTAGTTGGCATTCACTTCAATGGGACAAATTGGGTGACCCTCCACACTCAATTGAATCTTGACCTTCTTCCATTAATCAATCACCAACTCATTAATAACAAATCATTTATAGAAATAAAAGAAAAAAAAGAAAAAAACTTGTCTTTCCCTTCTTGCCCTTTTGCTCTTAGGTAATGGTGAAACCAACATAAAACATAAAGGTCGTGTGATCCTCTTAAAATCTTTTAAATGTATGCTCAGTTGATGCAAAGATAAAATTTTGTCTTCGCCACTTCCTATAACAGGAGGCTCATAAATAATATATGTTACACTCAGTGAATTGTACACATAAGAAAGATGTGAATACATGATCATGACACACTCGATCTTACGAGAAATATATGGATTGAAGATTTATCGATTTCATTGTAGTGTAATTAGTGGAAGTTTGAATCAAGAAAAAAAGCGGCAAAAGGGTCTTGTCCTAATGGAATGATCACTAAGCCTTGTCCCTTAAATGGAATACACACATTAATCTAGTTTTGTTTTTTTTCTTGCCAATGAATAATTATTTTAATGGACAATTATTTATATTTTTTCTTAATTTAATTTTTCAACTTTTTTCTTTTTTTTTTTTTTTGTTTTTTTTTGTATTGTTTCAGTTGCCAATGGAAGGTAAAAACGAACAACAAAGGCAAATCCTCCAACAGTACAGGTCCAAGGCAGAACACTACCTCTGCGCTTGTCTGAACAAGAACAACTCCACTAACGTGCAACGCACCCCGGGTGGCTTACTGTACACCCGCCAATGGAACAACATGCAGTACGTATCCACCGCAGTTTTCTCACTCACGGTCTACTCCGACCACCTCCAATCCACCAATCAAATGCTCAACTGCCACAAGGATTCAGTGGGCCCCACCGAGATCCTCTCGTTCGTCAGATCACAGGTGGACTACATTCTGGGCTCCAATCCTGTGGGAGTGAGCTACATGGTTGGATACGGAGCAGTCTATCCCAAGAAAGTCCACCATAGAGGCGCTTCAATGGACCCGTACAGAGATAGCAAGGTTTTTGTAGGGTGCACGCAGGGGTATGATAGTTGGTACGGTCGTCAGGATCCGAACCCGAATGTACTCGTTGGAGCCCTAGTCGGTGGGCCCGATAGTAAAGATGGTTTTACTGATAGAAGGGGTAACTTCGTGCAGACTGAGGCTTGCACGTATAATACTGCCCCACTGGTTGGTGTTTTTGCCAAATTTAATGCACTAGAGAAGAGTAATTCCAGTTCACTAGTTTCTTCCATATAAAATAAAATAATTACGAAAAAGAAAAATGTATAGAAATTCGGGAGTTTCTTTCTTTCTTTTTTTTTTTTTTTTGGGTACAGCCAAAAGGCAAATGTATTTCTACAAGAAAAATATTACCGTGAAGAAATTACAAATACGAAAGAGAAAAGAAAAAAAAAAACATTTTTGTTTTTCGTTTCTGGTGTATCTGAAATGCAATAACATGGGCATGGAGATTGCAGCATTGCACACAAGGAAAAATGTATCAAATAATAGGTATAGTTTTTATATATATTCGAAATTATTTCGTGACAATTTACGAGGAGAGCAACAGGCGAAAACCAGGTCTTTAATATCCATCATAAGCTGGAATAATAATCTAGTATATCTTCCTTGGCTACTTGTTTTATTTTTATTTTTTTAAATATTATGATTCCCTATTTATTTTGGTGAATTTTCTCCAAAGTCCAACCAACCGAAGCATTTATGACATACTACTATCTTGAATACCGAAATGAAGCCCAAACTAACAGTCGTTGTTCACCGACAGATAAAAACTACTAACGAAGTTGCAGACAACTACACATGGGTTGGGGGCATCATTCATTGTTCTATCACTTATGAGGTGAAGATTACTAGACATGCCTAACAAAGAATAATTGATAAGAGTAGGGTTCGTGAAAATCGGGCGAAAACATACACCGAATATTCAGGATTTTTGCCCCTAAGTACGTGTTAACTCGTAATTGGAACTTCATCGATCAATGTTTAACTTTCGTATGAGTTCCAAATTCGATGTCTCTTTCGGCATGTGGTACATATGAAATAAATACACACAACTAGTGAACCGTGTTACTAAGAACTAACACTGATTATGCACAACTTCAAACTTAAAATTTTTAACCATCTCTACTAAATTTTGAGTTTATCGAAATAATTGAATCATATTAAAAATCAATTAAATTGTATTAAAATGTACTTTAAACTAAGCTAACCTTTCATGGATTTCAGCAATTGCGAGGAAGAATCAGTCGCCGGAGCAGAATGAGGATACGGCGGTGGAGATTGGTGGTTAGCATCTTTCCGCTTCCGTGGTTTGTGCATTTCCTCTGTCTCGATCACAACCAACTTTTTCGCCTAAATTCGCCCAATTTTTTTTTTTTTATTTTTTTTTATTTTCTGTAAGATAATTAGAAATCAATTTTCCACCAATCAAAATGTTGCAAACAGTAAAAAAAATATGTAGGAACCTGCTGAATATGACGTGGTGTGATGTAGCAAATGAATTTGCTCAGTAAATTATTGTTGAGGTGCAAACAATGTCCCACATCGGTTTAATATGGGAAAGATCTATGGTTTATAAGGAGGGGATAGTAACTCCATTGGTATGAGGCCTTTTGGGGAAACCCAAGAGCAAAACCAGTTGGGCCCGGCCCAATCTGGACAATATCATACTAATGTGGAGTTTGTGCTATCCCGACGGGGGCCCAACAGTGGTATCAGAGCCATGGCCCAGACCTAACCATGTGGTGGAAATTGCCGGAATCTGTGTGGAAATTCCCGAATCCTCGGTGCCGAACAAAAAATGGTGAGCTCCTGGTGCGCAAATGGCAGGCGGCTCGACGAGCTCCAGGTGGGAGGGCTCGGTGTTCCTTTGTTCGAGGCTCGGTGCGCTCTGTAACAAAGATGGTGTGAGCCCCAGGCGCAAATTGAGGGGAGGCTCGGTGGTCCTTTGTGGTCCGACCTATGTGGTACTTTGTTCGAGGGGAGGATTGTTGAGGTGCAAACAATGTCCCACATCGGTTTAATATGGGAAAGATCTATGGTTTATAAGGAGGGGATAGTAACTCCATTGGTATGAGGCCTTTTGGGGAAACCCAAGAGCAAAACCAGTTGGGCCCGGCCCAATCTGGACAATATCATACTAATGTGGAGTTTGTGCTATCCCGACGGGGGCCCAACAATTATTGCGCGAAACTAAGATCGGAAACAAGAGGAGAGTTGCTGATTGAGTGAAGAAATGAACGGAAGAGCGACGGAGATATCATCGACGTCATCTTTGTGATCGTAATTGGGCCAAAAAATAAACTCAGATTTTCGCTTTGTTCGTGAGGCTGTTTGCTATTGGACAGAGATTCACCGAATTTGGGCCAAGTCCCATGAAAACGGGTTGGGCCGGGTCAAAGATAAAAGAATAGGTGTTTCCCATATAAAAGAGAGAACCTCGATAAATTAATAATCTCGTTTAAATAATAAATTTTCTCCGTCCCGATTCGGGGACAACGTGCTAAATTAATAATTCGCTAAATTTATAAGATAATACACATTGGAAGAATTTACGAAGCCCCTATAATATATAAATTAATAATGCATAAACATAATTATTAAATTACATGGTATAGTACATATTTTATATATCTATGAAAGCTTAATAAAATATATTTAATTGTTGCTTGTTTCTTGTTGAAGTTCATATTACCATCAATCTCGTCCCTCACTTTTCTTAACATTGTTAGAACTTTCGGTATAGTTTTCTCATAACTCAACATAAAATCGTTCTATAACATTGCTGCTTTAAGAGCTTCCGTTCGTGAAACGAGCTCTATAATGCATTGAACTAATGGTACAATGAATAATATATACGTAAAAAAAACTGTATTTATTGAAAATAATAATAAAAGTAATTTCATAAATTAATAATTTATTAATTAATGTAAAAATTAATAATTATTAATTTATCGATAAGTTAATATTTCGCTAAATTAATGAAATTTTGATGGTCCCAACTGTATTAATTTATAAAGGTTTAACTGTATACATATTTAATTATTTAATAAAGGGGATCCGGGGAATTTTTTTTCCAATAAAAAAACCCAAAATTTTAACAAAAAGGGACCGCGGAGGAATTTTTACAAGACTGTGTTTCCAGAAATATTCCCCAATTCCAACCCACCCCCCCCCCCCCCCCCCACACACACCCCACCACCACCACAGAACTCACGCCTTCATCTTCATAGTTGTTTTCTTGAATTATCTTAATGAATAGTAATATAGTATATTACCAATTTTGACATAATTAGAATTCAATAATCTCATTAAGTAACAATATCTCTTTTTATAAAGGGTTAAATACATTTTTCGTCGTTAAGTATAGCATGCGTTACACTTTTCTCCGAGTATCATTTATAACATTTACTTTCAGCCGACTCATCAAGCGTTTATAACATTTACTTTTAGCCGACTCATCAAACTTACCCGTCGGCTCGACTCATTTACGACCCCTGTATAATTGTTACATAAATAATACATTATGGGTGCAAAGTGTAATTAATGCTTTTTATAAAAGATATAACTTGACTGATGGCATCAAAAGAACATAAATGAGATCAATTAATGGTTGTTTATTGTCTTTCCCATTTCTTTAATCTAAAATCACATAATCCATGGAGGAATATTCACGTGAGAATCATTTGGATTCTCCCTAGTCACATGGTGGTGGTCCAACTCGGACAATGCCCTCAATTATTTCAAAATGAAACCAAAATGTTTAATACTAACCATTCATCATAAAATTTTATCACTTTAGCAATTCGCTATCACAAAAAAGTATTGACGTTTTTTCTGCAATGGACTCAATTTATCTCTATCATATCATATAACTTCTCAGTCAATTTTTTTTTTTACGTTTGTGTTATTAATAACTCAATCATATGATTAAATTTTGCGTTTCTTGATCTTGTAACTGCTCCTACCAATTTATAGTTTATTTAATATTTATATTATAAATTTGTAATTTCAAATAGATTAATTTATAAAGATTTAACTGCATTTATGATTTATTTAATATTCGATTAATACATTAATTTATAAAGACGTTAAATTTTAATAAGTTGTTCGCTGAATACAAGATTGTAATCTATAAATACCAACAAAATAAAAATAAATAAATAACAATAATAATAATAAACTGAAAAAAAAAAAAAAAACTAGAATGAATCTCAATATAAAAGACCAATCTTATAAAACAAAACACACATTAAATAAAAAACATCCATAATACACAAAGTTTTACATAAAATCCATAAAACCACACTTATATTACACAAGTTAAAACACATAATCCAACAAACAGAGCAAAACACAGTTTGCATTATTATTCATCCAAATTAAAAAAAAAAACAAGAGAGAGAGAGAGAAAACCATTACTTCATCTCTACACATGCACCATTGCAGGTTCACCAGAGCCTTTCAGTGCATCTCCATCTTCACAAGCTTCACCCAAATCTTCAGACGACGCCGTCGTCGCCACCTCAGCGACAACCTTATTCTCCTCGACATTGTTGAAGCAGCTAGCGGCTTCAAATATAAGCTCCTTCACTTCATTCAGCCTCTCTTCAGACAGCGACACCTCAGCCAACAGCCTCCACGCGTTTTCCTCAGACGCCCCCTCGTAATCCTCCTTCCTCTTCAGCACCATATGCCCACTAATCTCCCACACCGCCGGATTCACCTGCGTATCGAGCAGCTCCGCACTCACTTCCCCGAGCGCCTGCTTCTCCGCATAGCACTGCGGGAAGAGGAACACTCGTTTCCCGGAATCGGCGATGAGTACGTTGTGAGGGATGTTGTTCTCTTGCAGGCAGATGCACGATTCAGACACCGCGTTGGATAAGTCCTCGATATTGTCGCCGTGCTCGAAAACGAGGCCCCTGACGGGGTAGTTGAGGATGTAAGAGATTTCGACCCCATTACTTGTGGTGGTTATCTTTTTGGAAGGAGCCCTTTCTATCGGGAAAGGCGTAGCTAAGTAATAGGCTTGGAAGTGAAGGTGGTTGATGGTTGCAAATGCACCCAAGCTATTGTAGCCCAATCGGAAGTAAGGGTTACCCGCTTCGACTGCCATGTGGAGAGCAAGTAAGAAGCTCTCGCGGTCGATCCTCTGTGGCAAGCACTCGAAAATTCGAGGGATTAGCAGAACGTGTCCGTATTCAATCGGACTAACCTGTTAAATCATCAAGGGCGATAATGATTTAAATTACTAAAACAAAAAAACAAAAAAAAAAAAAGGGATTCTTGATAAGAAGCAAACCGGAAACGTACGTTAATAGCGACGACGCTAGGTGAATTCTCGAGATCGATGGGTGCGTTTGGAAAGAATTGAACATGGTTGTTCTCACTGGGCTCGAATTGAAAGAGAACCTCTTCTTGGCCAACTTTTGTGAAGTTGAACTTGGTTTCGTCGAAGGGCTGCAAGACCTTATCCACACGAAACTCGGTAGGCCTCTTCTTGAGGTGGCGGCCCTCGTTCAGCTGTGCAATGAATCCATACTTGCCAGGTATCACCTATGTAAATATTATTATTATTAACAAGCAGTTCGCATATATGCATAAGCGCCACTGGATAATTAATTCGGTACGACTTTCGTTACAGATTAGATAATACGAAGAAAAAGGCGAACCAGAGACAAACCTTGGTTTCGCAAGCAGTGACATCATAGCGGAAAAGTCCTCTCTGCACACGATCCTCCCACTAACATCCAGAATAACCCCAATTTCAGACAACTATTTCACTAAGAGAATAATTTACAAAAAATAAATAAAAATTAAATTTTTACCTCCCCAAGAAGAAGGGCGTCCAAGAACTCAACAGGAGGCTCTTTGTTCACAGAATCAAAGGAACCCTTTTCACAAACAAGCTTGTTCGCCTTCTTAAAAGCATACAGTGGCAGCTTTGACCCTAATTTAATCAAGATCGGGGTAAAGTTTGATTCTTTTTACAGCAAAAAAAATAAAAATAAAAATGGAGTGAATAAATTACCTGGAAGGCAGCAGCTCCGGAGGCAATTGCGGCCGCAGCCGGCGCCGCCTTCCTCCGCGTCCTCCTTTTGGTAGTTGGAAACAACAGTAGGAACCCTCTTAATCTTTAGCATCATCTTTCTTACAGAATATACTCCTTAATTCTAGTTAAAAAGCAGACAGATTCGAAAAGCAAAAGCAGACAGATTCTTAATCGAGCAGCAGAATAGAATATAAGCCTACGATACTTTATATATATAGAAAAATATATATATCTACAGAAGGGGGGGAGGGGAGCTAGCAGACGGTGTGACCGCCGCCGGCGAGGAAGAGGAGGTCGGAGGGGCTGCCGCCTTCGGAGGGGAGAGCGCCGCGTCCGCCGTGCGGCGAAGGGTTGCTCTCGCTCACACAACCCTTTCGTCGTACAGAGCGGACATGTAGTAGAGGCCGATTTACGCTTGATATAGCCGTGATTGTCGACAACTTTTTTTCCGGGTTTTACCCCCCCTCCTTTCAATTACAAAGCTAAAGAAGAACCCCCACTAGATTCTACTTAAAATCCAGGGTTTCTGCTGATCCAGATTTCGGAATTTATCCGAATTGTGAAGACGAAGGGAAGAGGGTTTCTCGAAATTGTGGAAAAGACGCTCGTCAAATTAAAAGCTAGCTCTCTCTCTCTCTCTCTCTCTCTCTATGTTAACAATGGTGGTTTGGTGGGTGAGGTGGATATATATAGAGAGAGAAAGTGTGTGTATTTTGACAGAGAGGATGGAGTGAACGTGGTTGTGGTTGAACCTGACCCTAACGTGCTCTAATTGGTTCGTTTATGCAACTAGACTCTATTCGGGTTACGGGTTATTTAGGTGGATCGGGTTCAATAATATTTTTAAAATTATAAATAATATTATTTTTTTGGCAAAATTGCACTTAAACCCCTGTGCTTTTGCAGATGATCTCCTTGTGCTCATAATATCAGCACATAAAATTTAATCTCGTATGTCAAACTTCAAGGGGGTCATCTGCAAAAATAAAAGCACAAGGGGGTTATCTGAAAAAAAAAATACTTTGACGTTTGACACATGTTTTTAAGTTTGATAAAAAAAAACCAACGAAAACCACCCTATTTAACCACAAAGGGGGTTGTGTGCTGATATTACAATCACAAGATGTCATCTGCAAAAGCTTGTAACTATAAGGGGTTAAGTGCTATTTAACTTTTTATTTTTTTAAATCAAACATCCACCAAACGAGATGGGGCCCTCAAGGCCTCAACTTGTTTACAGATACAAATTAAATTAAAGAAGAAAAAAAAAATTCATAAATGTGTTGGCTTAAAAAAAACAAGATTCCCTTCCTTTGGTGGCCCAAACATAAAACGAGGCTTTTTACATATATATATAATCAAATTATAGTACTTATTACTATTTCCTACCAGATATTTCTTATTTAGATATATACAATATGAATATATATTAATAGAGATAATTTCGTTATTATTTCATTTACATATCGAATTTTGAAGGTTTTAGTAAATTATTTCAAAATCCGTGGAATCTCCAACCTATCTCCAATAAATATCAATTTAATCATCTATTTAATATTTTCTCCAAAAAAAAACAAATCTCTATTTAAATATCCTTTAGAAAACGAGGTTATGAAATTCAAAGCATTAAAAATTGAGTGCAGGAAATAAAGGCTAGTTGGAGTATTTCTTCACCAAACTTGTTTATTAAAGATTCCATCAAGACGTAGTACTGTAGTAGATACAGAAGAATCCAATCCTGCAATTATAAGATAATTAATTACAATTTAATTACAATATTGTGCCTTCTCGCACGTAGCTAGCTACAATCGTGCCATTTTTTTCTTTTTTATTTTAATTAGATTTCGGTTAGAAACAAAAATATAACTTTATTTCTAAATTCATACAAAGTTTCTCCAATTAATTGTCAATTGTAAGTGTTCATATTATAGAGATCCACATGTAAACTCTACGTTCTGCATTATAGTAACAAATATTTCATTTTGTTTTCTAAATAGTTTTCTCTTTTCATATTTGCACAAGTATTAAGAAACACAATAAAATTAAAACATGATAATATACATTTATTGTAGTATTGGAAATGTAAAGTAATAAATAATATGGAACAAAAATGCTTTTCAAAATTGACGGTTATTATGGAACAAAATGAGTAATCGATAATCGATTTAAACAAAGTCGACACTGGTACAAATTACGCATGAGTCTATTTTATGTAAAAATTGTGGTAGCTAGCTAGTTGACCTGGACAATTGTAAAGGCACGTGTGAGATTAATTTTTCATGTAATTTTATTTTTATTTTTCTAATATATTGTTTTAGTGGTGTTGGTGTTGAATAAGTGGCCAATTTTTGTACCTTAATTTTTTTAGGGAGGAAAAGGGAAGATGAACTTAACTCGAATAGTGGTTATATTCCAATATACCTGTTGGTATTTATTAATCTGAATATCATTGTCAATGATACATATAATTAATAGTTACTTGGCTAAAATAATATTATTAATTACTTCTCTTATGAGCAGCCACCGTACCCGAAATTCATATTATATTTCTTTAATTTGTTTTGTTGTATATTAATAATCACCAACTGCACTTTAAACAATTGCATAAACAAAATAAGTTTATAATCATTTTTCGTGTGACGAATTAAAGCTCGAGGACCAACCGAGATTCGATTATTTTTTATGTTAATTATTTGCATCGATGATATTATTATAAGCCTAACTTTTAAGTTAGTAAAATATTTCCATCCCATTAAGTTCGAGTTAGGTAGGGGCATAATGGGAAATTTATATTTAAGCTCAGATGGATGGTGCTGGTTCTGGTTTTTACATTTATTCCACAGGTTGAATCCGGGATATCATACTAGCTAGTTTTTCTGTTTCTTCCTTTTTAATAATAATAATAATAATAATAATAATAATAATAATAATAATAATAATATTGTTTATACTTTCTTTTTCGGGTAAGGAACCAAATAAATATTGTTTATAACTAAATATTGTTTACAACACTAAATTAACAAGAATCAGTTATCAATCAACTACTAGAAAATAGACAAATGCCAACATAATGACATATTTGTTGCTGTCATGTTTTTATTTTTTCGGGATTTTTCGTTTAAATATAATTGAAGGGTTTCAAATAAGCTTTTGATATTAAGTCACGTGCAACAAGTTCGATTTGAAAAATGTTGACAAGAGATTTCGAACTCGAATTATTAGACATTGCCCTCCCGTTACTTCGCCAACTAACCTCATTTCCGGGCAACTTTTGAATTTATTTTAGGATTAGCAATCACTAGAACTGCAAAATCCACTTTTTACCAATAGAGATAAAAAAAAAAGAAAAAAAAGAAAAATTCGGAGTTTGATAGTCATATTTATATATAATTTTTGTCAACGTCGAATTATTAATTATAGTTTATATTGGGTTTAGCCATCCAATAATAATATATTTAATAAAGTAGTTATGGTAATGTAGGATAGCAGCCATTGCCACGTACGTCTTAATATATTCTAGGTCACAAATGATCTGAGTTTGATAATCATATTTTAAAACAATGAATGTTTATGAAAACTCTTCGCTATCTAATCGACGTGAGATTTGTCGAATTACTTCCAAACGAACTTTACGATATTTGATCCAGTCGACAAAATATCGTAACAACATGTACAATAACAGATTATCGTTTATTGTTTATTGTTATAGAGTAATAGTACTTTCTAGAAGATTGGGAAAACATGAAATACAACCCTAATTATGTTTTTTGATCAAATGATTGAAGAATCATAAATGTTACTAATGTTTTAAATTAAATGCAGCATTTCAAAGTTAATATTTGCAACCAAAGACCCCCAAGAAAACAAAAACTACATATGTGTCCTTTTATTTTATTTAACCTAATTTTGCTTGACAAAATTATCACGAAAACCAAAAAAAGCCTAATCTTCTCGAAAGACTATAATCTTGTTTCCTTATCAGCGTACAGCACCCACGAGCCAATAAGATACAGACAGCTGTCTCCTTGTCTTAGCTTGTCCAATTATATACACGATTCCCAGTTCTTTGGGGGACCTCTAATTTTGCTCAACCCTAATAACCATCCTCATTTATGCTTGATTATTTTTATTTTAAGTTAATATTTTTTTAAAAAAATTGTGATATAAATTTTCAAATTTAATTGAAAAGTAAATAACCTCAAGTTTTTTATTTAATTTTATTTACACATTAGTCACTATTGTTTGAATAATTAATTAATTCACAGACGTAAGATTCCAAGGATTATGGGCCAAGAGTTTTCACGTGAATGAACATGTCTCGTGTTTGTTATGGGTGGTGTGGGACCACGTGCAATGGAAATTATGGATCAAATAGTTGCATTTCATATATAGTGGATAGGATTAAAAAAAATTGAGAGTTCATCAATTTTAAAGATTAGGGTACAAAATTCAAAATGGACCATCGAATATTACTTGTTTGATGTTAGATAGATTAATAGTAGTTATATACAAGCTATTCGATGATTCCATTGAAGTTGCTCTTACAGTTAGCAATCAACAATCGTGATTTTACTCTTTATATTATAATTATCACTTACTTACGAGTTTAATCTTCTTAACATACACTCTAGATTAATCAAATGTATATGTTATATCGTGACTCGTATCGACATACACAAGTCATTTTTGGTAAATTATGGATGTTTTAATTTTTTGCAACAGTTCATAGTGTCTACTTAATCTTGATTGTTTTGTGGTTTAATTCACAACAATATATACATATATACACACATGGATGTGTAGAATAAGATTCAATGCAAACGAATAAATGTAGTTATGGATGTAAATTGTAATGTACCCAAGTTCAATTTTTTAAAGGTCAAAGTGGCCCAATCTAATGGACTTTAAATAATTTACAAGTGTACTATTGTGTAAGCCCATGCATCTAAATTTTGGCCCAACATGTAATTAAAAAGCATCTAACTTTTTGGTAATTTAGTGGCCGAATTATGAGATTCCATTAGCAAAGAAACAAAATAAGTGGTCATCGAATCTTGGTGTATCGAATATTATTATTAGGTGCGCAAGTGTGCAACTATATAGACATCAATTTGTATTAGTTATTAATAAGTTGTATTAAATAATTGAAAATTTAATTTTTTCTTAAGTAAACTAAAAATTTCATTAATGTAAAATATTTCACTCACAAACATATTATATTTTTGTGTATTTTTCGTAGAGCCCACTTGTATAAGACCAGGCAATAAATGAAACATAAGTGGGAAATAATTGAGATAAGACATCATTCAAAATCACTTGAGAACTTGTAATTTATTCCATACTATGTCATGTAAATTAAATATAGAAAATATCTTCATTAACAATTTAACATTATTATGTGTATCATCAAATAATAATATAAATGCATGATCATCCAAATTCAAAAGTAGGATTATAGTATTACATATAGATGTCCCAGCTGACCTAATTACTTCCACTCTACATCTTTTTAACTAATATTAACAAAGAACTAATAATCATCATTCATCACACTTCGGAATTAGTTATCGATTTGAGTCGACACATTTACTTCAATGAGTCAACTCAGTCGAGTGGTCGTCGTGGGCATGCAGTGGCGGATCTGGTGTAATCCAAGGGTTAATAAAATGAAATTAAATTACATTTGACAATTGGGATGAAAATTAAATGGAAATGTTAATAAAATGCATGTTTGAGGGAGTTTGCACATGCATGAATTTAATGGATATATATATATATATATACTTACATATTTTATATTTGCATGATAATGTACGGATGGGATCGTCCTAGAGTTACGGATCGGATCCAGTAATAATAAATAATATAATGTCAAACTTCTTGTGCACGTTCAATCCAGTTCCATGCACAAATATAATTACCACTAAATATTTATTCACCAGTTTTATTGCTGCTGTTAATGTTACACTATCTTAAAATTAATAAACAGAAAAAAAAAATATTTATGAACCGGAAAAAGGAAAATAAAAATAAATACGAGATTTGTTCTTTTTTCTTTGATAAGCAAAATAAATACGAGATTATTTAGTCATAATAATTTGTAATTATTATAATACTTGCAGACTATTGTACGAAAATGAAAACGTATACTTTATATGTGTTACGTGTTACTCCTTTTGTAAAATACAAATTTGTAATTATTTTCACATTTTTCAATTATAATAATTGGAACAATGTGAAGGGAAATTCCATATATGCAAACAAAAACGTCAATATCTTAATGCAACTTGCTCACGCTTTTAGTAAATAGCAATCTTCCCTTTTTCTTTTTCTTCTTTTTCTTCTTTTTTATTATTAATTTTTTTTTAATTTTTTGATGATTGAATACTCTATTACTTAAAGCGTGTTATTTATACTATGACTAATTCCATTCCTCATTTAAATAAATAAAAGTAATATGCACTAAGTCTATAATGACCAGACACCACTCCTTGTTTTAGAAAAATATATACTTTTCATATTGAAATATTTATTCTTGTCGAATGCGATTTTTTATTTCCATTAAAGAATTATTATAATTTTTTAAAATTACATTTAAGGGATTAGCAATCAAAATTTATCAATTATTATCAAGCAAATTATTTGATTATATATCTGAATTAAAAAAAAAAAATCACAGCATATACCACTAATCAAGCTAAGAATCTCATAGCTGTCACGCCTATTAATAAGAAAATTAAATTCTTAAATTTATTTAAAATATGTATATTAATATAATAATGACAAAGAGCATGCCGATGTTAACATCAACAAATTAAACAGCACCCCTGGCCTTAATTAATTTTTTTTGCCTTATATATGATATTCTAACTATTCCAAAATAATAAATAAAAGAGTTCTTCTTCTTGTATGTTCCCCCAACATATAAGAAGGTTGCCTGCCAATTTTTTGTTTGATTATTTTAATGAAAGTGAAATAGGAGAATATTTTTTTTTTAAAATTTTATATTAAAAAGTGAAAAATAAAATGAAGTAATAATCATCAATTAATCATGCTTGTTTTGTTTACTGTCAACATTCAGCAGCCCAATTATTAGTAGATTAAATTAGTATAATTAATTAGCTGATTTCATTTTTAGCTATACAGCCAGTAGTGATACCAAACATTTGCTTCCGTATTCAAGGTAACAACAAAAAATAAAAAATAAAAAATAAAAAATAAAAAATAAAAAATAAAAAATAAAAAATAAAAAATAAAAAATAAAAAAGAAACAGAAAAAAGGTGCTAATCGGGGTGTTGATTATGTGCATTAATTATAATTTCTTCATGTGATACTAACGTGGTTTCTGCTAGTTTTGAAGCATTACAATTTTGACTTTTAATTCTGAAATCCCTTAATTTTATGTTTATACTTGTGCACGAACATGGCCTAAATTAAAATATATATAGATTTTTTTTATATATATATATATATAACAAATAAAATAAATTGGATTGAAGAAGTCAAGGCACTAGCTACTAGCTGCTCATCCATCTAGCCAGTAACGGACCTAATTTTGGGTCATGGTGGGATTAATTTATTTGACTTTTTTTTTATATATAAGAAAAACTCTATGTTATGCATGTTATTATTTGTAACTTTTTAATTAATTAAATTTTATTAGTATTACTTGCTTGATTAACTTATTTAAATATATGACACTAACAATTGTAGTAGGAAAAATATGCTCAATTTGTAATAGTTCAAGAGCTCATGAGTTGGGCTCGTGTTTATTACTATTAATGTATAATACAAATATGAGCAATAATATAAAAAATTCAGAAAATTAAATTTCTCGAATTTTAGAAAAAATGTATCGATATGGGATTAGCTTCTTCTGCTAAAAATGCAATGTAAACAGAATTTTTACCAATATTAATAAGACTGTAATTTTTTTTTTTTAAGCAGCTTGAAATTAAGATAAGAAGTTTTATTTAATACTATTTTATATTAATCCCGGAAATGCTGGCTACTAAAGAAAATGTGTAGCCAGTGTTCAAAGACGACTCTTACTGGTCAAAATAAAATAAAGATAGTTGGATGATTAATTAATTAATTAATTAAATAATAACAATTATTAAAAATAAAAAATAAACAAGAATAACAGAAGAGAATAACAGGTTAATTAATAAGGAACATGAAAGTTGAGAGATGAGTTAAATAAATGATGACAGATCATTAGCTGAGAATAATAGTTCACACTTCAGAGAATTGCAGGCTTCATCACAGTACTTAATTCGTCTCTTTCATTAACATGCAGAAAAAAAAATAAAACTTTTTAGCTAATTATTTATTTTGTATGAAGATGGAGAAAGAGCCTAAGAAGCTGGTCTTTGGAGCCACTCCAATTTTTCTCCTTCTTTCTCTGCCTCTGCTTTTCCTCGGCGTCGATTTCTTCGTGGGGAACAAAATTCCGTTCGATCGATGTAATATATAATATATATCCCTTTTTTTTTCAATTCTTAGCTCGTATAATTGTTAAACTTACGGAATACAAAAATTGTCAGGGATGCAATATTTTTCGATATCGGAAAGCAGCTTCGGAGGCGGAAGAGCGATCAATAGAACAATTGAGGAGCAACAATTCATGAAGTTTCACTTGGCAAGATTAGTTAGAGGTATGTGGTTTTTTTTTTTTTTTTTCTCTCTCTAATAATTTACAAAATTTTTATTTTATTGCTAAAATTTTGAAAAACATGGAAAAAAACAGGGGAAGACCGGAGAAATCTCGATGCTACGGGTTTCGCGTGCGACAAATCCGTCCACTCGTACGTATGCGTGTCAAGCAAGCCCGTAACGATTCTTGTGAGCAACATGACGATCTACGTACCGTCCGATCGCGACGAACCAACGGTGGCGGTCCGGCCCTACGCGAGACAAGAAGAAACCCTGAAAGACATCACCCCGGTCAACATGGTCCGGTACTCCACAAACACCACCCAACCGCCGCCGGCGTGCGACTTCCACCACCAAGTCCCGGCGGTAATCTTCTCCTCCGCCAGCACGGGGAACATCTTCCACGAGATGAACGAGATAATCATCCCTCTGTACATCACCACCAAGCACTTCCAATCGCGCGTGCAGTTCATCCTCGAGGACTACAAGCAATCCTTCATCAACAAATACGGCGTCGTTTTATCCCACCTCTCTGAACATGACGTCATCAACCCGGCCGATAACCTAACCGCCGCCCACTGCTTCCCGGCCTCAATCGTCGGATTAAGATACCACGACAACCTGGCCCTGAACTCAACGGAGATTCCAGGCGGATATTCCATGCCCGATTTCAAGCAATTCCTCCGACAAGTATTCAACCTGAAATTCTCGCACGTGTCGCAAATACCGAAACCCAGGCTAATGCTCCTATCCCGCACGAACACGCGGAGATTCCTGAACGAGGAAGAACTCATCGCTCTTATCAAGGAGATCGGGTTCCAGATAATCGTGATCAGGAGATCGAAAATCGTGTCCAATCTAACGCGATTCTCGCAGCTGATCAACTCGTGCGGGGTGCTGGTGGGGGCGCACGGCGCGGGGCTAACGAACGAGATATTCCTGCCAGCTGGCGGGGTTATGATACAGGTGGAGCTTCTCGGAACGGGGTGGGGTTCGGATACTTACTACGGGAATACCGCACGTGCGATGGGCGTGAGGTATTTGCGGTACAGAATTGAGGCGGGGGAGAGCTCGCTGCAGAAACTGTACGGGGAGAATAGCACCGTTGTGACGGACCCGGATTCCGTTTACAGGAACGGAGGGTACAGAGCGGCGAGAACGGTGTTCCTGGATCAGCAGAATGTGAGGGTTAATTTGGTCAGGTTTAGGGAGACGCTTGTTGAGGCGTTTAGTATTATTACTGATTGGGGAGGTAAGTAAATTAGTTAATTGATTAATTAATTAATTAATTAATTAGAGGTTTATTTTTTATTTTATTTTTTATATTTACTGAGGGTAAAAAAGTAAAACCATATTATTGTTTGTGTACATACGAACTACGAGGGGTAATTGAAAACGTATTGCCTCCAAAATTTCGAGGCATTACATTTTTTTTGGTAAGTGTGTGCGAGTTAAAGTGGGTTGTAACTGTGCATGGCTAGTAGCTATTGTAGCAAGTAATTTTGCTATTTAGATATTTATTCACGAAAGTTGAATATTTTTTTTTTTTACTTTATGTTTTCGTAGTGTTACTGTATTTGTCGTTCCGTAATAATTGTCTTTGAAAAAAAAAAATGTTCGATATTATTTGTCACTTAGGATTTCCAATGCTGCATTTTTTTTCTTCATATTTTAACTTTATTAATTCAACTATAAATATTAACTCATACTTGTTAAAATGATTAAGGCTATTTTAGTTTTTTAATGTATTTTTTTTTTCTAAAATCATGACACATTTATTGACATTCGAATACTTTCCCAAAGTTAAAAACGAGAGTTAATTGGACACAGATGGAATATTTATTAATTGAATTTCACTATTCAGGTAATTTTATGCCAGCTTGAAGCATTAAGTCAAGAAAAAAAAAAGGTAGAGTCTTGATTGCTACAATATGAAGACAATATTCATCTATATTATAGTATAATTTTTACATTCATTGCTTGGAATGTCAGTAATCGTCCATATACCTTTTCTTTTTCATATTGACTAATTTCTAGTTATTGTTACATTAAAAAAAAAACCGTAAAAGAAAAAAAAAACAAATTAAAATTAAAATTTATATGTACATGTCATAAAATAACAAGTAGACATTTTTGGGATTTGATAGAGGTGAGTGAAGCATCTAATCATGATCTGATCTTAGTATAAAAGAGTAGCAAAATTATAGTCAATATAGTTTTCTTGCACGAAATGCCAACATTATATTCCAACCCAACAATATTTTTCTTTTTTTTAAAGGAAAATTACAAAAAAAAAGGTGAAAAAGACAGACGAACTATGAGGCAAAGAGGGAGGCATCAAAATTATTGACTTGAGGATAGAGAAAAGTCTAGATTCTTAATTATATTAAAATCATCGCAAATTAAGGAAAACGTGTCCTCGAAATTTTTAAATCAGACAAACTTATGTAGCTAGCTGTGTATAAATCAAGGTTGTAAAAAGCGGTAATCGGGTCCGAGTCGGTCAGGCACCGACTCACGATTAATCGGTGCGGCGGTGATTAATCGGTGATAAATCGGAAATAAATCGGTTTTTAAAATTTAATATAATATATTTCTAAATATTATTTATGAATACTCCGAACATATATAAAAAGATATTTAAACATAGTTATATCTCCATCATTATATATCCTAATAACATAATAAAAGTTTAATAATTATAAGATCATAATACATAAATATCATTATAAAATATAAATAAAAAAAACAATTTTTTTGAATTTAAATTTATTCTTGAACATTCAAGCATACATCATTAGTTCTTTAACAATAACAATTAACATAAACAAAATAAGGCATAAACTCATATTTTCTTTTATTAAAATCCAACTTTTATTGTGAATTATAAAAAGAAAAAAAAAAACCGATTTTTAACCGATTTTTACAACCGAGTTTGCCCGCCTTAAAGGTTTGACCGCCTCAGACCGCATCGGACCGCCTAAAACCGCCTCACAGGCAAAAAGCCGATTTTTCAAACCTTTACACTAAAATCGTAAAGGTTTTGGACCGCCTCCGCCTCGGAGACCGATTAATCGACCGCCTCGGCCGATTTTTAGAACACTGGTATGAATACTATAATTAATTCAATAAGTGCGGATTACGATCCAAATCTGGTCTTCATTGACATAATACCTTTGTTTCTTTGACATTGATTATTATTATTATTATTATTATTATTATTATTATTATTATTATTATTATTATTATTATTATTATTATTATTATTATTATTAGTATTATT